CGCCCTATCTAGATCAGGTTGGTTCCAAACTGACTGATCGACCCAAATGACTCGAACTGAGGTGATTGGCTCTGTTCATATTCAGACCGGGTTAAATTGATCCGGACTTGTTAATTTGGATGAAGAGGCAAAACTAATTTTAATGAATAATTAATAAAAAATTAATGTATTAATTATAAATTATTTAACTCAAATAAAGAAAATTAAAAAAAATAAAGAATTCATATATGTTTAGTAGTTAAACCCAATGATTATCCACAATTCAACCCGACCCAACCCATTTAATTTGGTCTAATAGATGATCAACCCAATAGACCGGTTGAATAGATTAGATGGATTCAGCGGGTTGAATGAGAAATTGTCACTCCCAAAAAAATGTACGGCATCTGATTAAGTCGGTATGGTGTTAGGACTTGTTCTATGGACAGGTGATCTGAACTCCAAACAAACTATCACGTGGAGACGACCAAACAGCAGTTCATTCAGTACCAACTACAAGTCCTCCAAATTTGGTGGGATACGGTTTTAAATGAATTTTTTAATATATTTAATGCAAACACATTATAAGTCACAAAGGTAAGTGATAATAATAGCGAGAGTCGATTCCAAGTATCTGCTGGGATTACCCAGCTAGCTTACGAACTGAGCAACCGCGTATATTTAAAGCTGGAATTCAGAATTCTGCATCGAATGTATCCATACTTCTCCGTTTTAAATATACAAGTATGTGATGATCATTTATTCTCTTTTGAATAACAAGCCAAAGCCCGGACAGATGTCAGCATGCGCCTTGCGCGCTGCTGCCCTTTGGGATGTGGATGGGGCTGTTGTTGTAGGGCTGGGAATTGATATGCCAGGCTGGGCTGCACATGCCTATCGTCAGCGATTTTAATTTCATTCTCTTTCCTGAAGGTGACAATGGGACCTACACTGGGCCATAGATTTTGGCCTGTTTTGGCCCTACGTTTTCTTTTTGAGTTTGACTATAATGCTGAAAAAACTTATAATCAAATAGATATCATTGAAAATATAACTAATGGGGTTTTCATTAAAATTCATGAAGTGTTTTAATTGATTATCCTTTCATAGATTGTCTCTTTATTTTTTACTTTTTTTTTGTTTTTTTTAGGATAGACTACTGTATAATAGAAGTGTTCACGGTTTAATTAAATTCCAAACTGAATCGATAATAACCAAAATTGACCCGAAGCTGACTGATTAATTGCTGGCTTGATTCGTTGGTTTTTTGGGTTTTGATATAATAAAAAACATATCGAATCTACTAGTTTAGTTAACTGAAATTTTCAGTCAGATATGGCTGGTTTGATTTGGCTTTTCTTGCTCACCCTATTTATTGGGATGGGTGTAAATTAAATTCCGGAACTGGCCCTCGAAACATTGAGTTTTCATGTTTGACAGTTTGAGAGTTTTGTTGTCTTCAGTATTGTAATTATTGCATCATGCATGAGGTACATAATATCATGTATGGGAGACCGGACCTGATCCTCACACAGGGCGCCTCATAACGACCTCACACATACATTCTATCGTACATTAGGAACATCTTCAATATTTATAAGTGAGGCGCGCAGATCCCGTTCCCATGTATGGGTTAACATATTACGTGGGAAGAATCCTGTGGACACACAGTCATAGCAATTGGACAGCCTTTTTTTTCTTTTTTGATAATTCCATTTTCATTAAAATTCAAACAAAAATTAAAAGGATTTTTTTTATTAACAGAATGCACATCAGAGGGCATTAAAGGTAAGAGACAACGATGGCAGGGTGCTCGTGGGAACCCACTACCTCATGCCGAGTGACCATATCAGCTACCGGGTCATTAGTATTTTGAGGGGATCGAAAAGCAAAAAGGAGGGGGATATGTAAGAAAGCCTAAAGTGTCATATACAATGTTTCTATTTTATTTATAGTTTCATGTACGGATGACAATTTTCTGTAAAATCAAGGCATTTCTCCAAATGGGGTGGATTTTTCATAGTCATAAATGTGAACAGGGTTTGTAAATAGTTCTTTGAACTCGAACTTGGTTGTAAATTATTAAAATTTTCCTAGGTTTAATGTTAATTTCTAAAATATCTTCAAATTTCTCTCAAATTCCTATAACCTATAGGTTACTATAATTCCGTTTATAAAATATCCCTAAATCCCTATAATTCAATTTTTTAAATTAATTCTCATCTATTCTGTATATATAAAGCGACTCATTCCACGTGTCACCCTTGCCCTCTTCCAAAACTTGCTCCAAAATCTCTATTGTAATTTTCTCAAAATTTTCAGAATTTTTTATTTTTTTTAAAGCCACGTAATGGGATTCATTGAACCAATCAGAATTCGCACTTTCCCACCCCCTAAAATCTCTTTACGTTCCAAATCCTCAATCCCTACTTCTCTAACAAAGGAATATAATAAAGGATGCCCTTTTTTGGCTTTTTTTTTTCAAAGTTTTGGAGAATACATGTAAATGTGTTGGCCACTTCCCAATTTTTACGCTTGAATCTCTCCCTGTAAATTATAACGCTCCACATCCCTACCATCTCTCCTCTATATATTGCTTCTTTTCCTCTTCCCTACTTAATTGTTGTTTTAAATTGTTAAAAAAACTTTCATTAGAATTTTTATCAATCACGATAGAGTTCGGCTTCGGTCAGGGCAAAGCCTGTCGAGCAGTCTTTACAGCCTTGCATCACTACAAGAAAATCGGTCAGCGGTAGGTCTAAAGACCGCCAGCTTTGGTCTAAGGCGGCGGTCATGAGTCCGCCCCCTAAACCACTGCTGGCCTAGATCTGAGATGTCAACTCTAACTGTGCCCAAACTTGTAGGATCTGCTGACCTACAAGAACAGAATAGAACAGGTATTTTAATCCATTTTGAATGATAGCAAGTACCTTCTTTATGACTAGATTATATTTCCTAGATGCATGAAGTATAGAAAGAAAATAATGAAATGATAGAAAAAAGCCCTTTCTAACAAAGAGAAAGCAATAGATAAACTTTAAATGGTTTAGAAGAGTTAAATGTTTTACATTATTATATTAAAACTTGTCAACTTCAAGCATAAGAAAATTTAACAGAAAAGAGTGGAATATTGTTGCCAACAAAAATTGCTAATAAAATCAATACTTCCTAATATAGCCCAAGTTAGATGTCAACTTCAAGTTAGATGCCAAATGTCCTCCAATTTATAAATTTTTAAGTTCCCATGTATTAATGATGTACACAATCTGGATCCAACCTAAGTGTGATCTAAACAGTATAAAAAAATATCTAATTCAACTCCAAATATAAATAGATGAAATTTGCATCTAGGTATATCAGATTCAAATCAGATTCCTTTGCAGTCCTACTAACTTCAAATCATTTGGTGCCAGCTAGAGTTACCAAGCAATTTCAATAAAGAGAGATATCATAACTATATTTCATTTCCTTTTTGTATCTTAACTATATAAAACCCATTTTAACCCAACCTTTCCTAATTAGACCCAAGCTCAACCAACATAGCTGAACCTAGTCCAACTTAACCCAACCATAGCTGATCCCAACCTAACCTAGCTGAACCCAATCCAACCTATTTAAACTTGCCTGAACCCAGTCCAACTTAACCCAACCATAGCTAAACCTAGTTGAACCCGACCCAATCTAATTAAATTTACTGAACCTAGTCCCAAGTCCCAACCTTAGCTGATCCTAGTCCAAGCCATAGCTAGACCCAATCCAACTTGTTGAACCCAACCTAACTCAACCTTATGGGAAAATGAATCATATTATAATATATGTAGCATACATTGTCAGGCTCAGTTTTGACCGTGGCATGACAGACCTTGACAAATCAACCTGATGTTCCGCTAGGTTTGTAACTTCTAAGACAAGTAGAACACAAGGTCAGAAAACTCTAGCCTTACTGGTATTTCTGTTAACATTACTAGCCATATCTAAGAAAGTAGAATAAGCAAGAAGAGTGACAACAAGGGAAAAGTGGGCTTTTGCACTATTTTAAATTGATGGTATGATTCCTTAAGAAATTGTGCAACCTTTGCTAATAAATCAATAGTAAATACAGACCCTAGGAACCTTGATATGTCAACCATCCATACAATCAACATATTACTAGAAATGTGATCTTGAAACATTAGTTCTTATAGGCAGAAAGTTCTTAAAAAGAAAGGTTTAGTTTAGGTTTGTAAAACCATATACACAATTACTAAAATAAGAAAAAATAAGTATAAGTTAAGATTTATTCTAGTAAGAATTCCAAAATGGAGTTCAAAGTAATACCCCAGCCTAACCTTTTGTGATGAGGGGAACAACTGCACCTGCTGCACCCAATCTACTCATGCTTAAAACCTGCAACTCATATCGAATAACTAAGCATCCAAACTGATTGGAATAAAACAGTCGTCTAAAATATGCAGGTTTTACTCAGACTTGAACAATTTAGCTCAGATTCTAACTACCATGTCCAATGTTTCTAGGCAATATTTGGGGGACACAGTTCCCTTGGTAGGTGTCAAGAAACCTCCACTAATTGTGAAAATTTGATAAACCTCCCCTACGTTTCTTAAACATAACAATTTCTCCTGACATTTTCAAGCTAACATCTGTTACCTGCCCTATCTTAGAAATTCATTACTTTTAATTCACCAGAAAATCTAATGTAAAAGAATGTCCACTCTAAAGACAAGCTTGCCTGAAAAATACCGTTTAAATATAACATGTTGATTCAACACCTCAAGTGACATATTTTAAGTACTAAGACAGAGCAGACTAGTGACTCAAAGCATCAAAATATCAAGGGACTGCAATGATATTTTATCTGAGAGGAGGTTTATTGAAGCTTTCACAAACCTTGGCTAAGCTTTGATAAACCTGAGCAAGATCAACAAAAAATATAACTTTGATTTAATAAGAAGTGAAAAGTTTTAAACTCAAAATGGATGTATTTAGCCTGACTATGGCAGATGTCATCACTGTCACCACTCCCATCATCATCAACCACAGAACTATCATCTCTTTGATTCTTTCCCAGTTGGGAAGAGGGAAAATTGGATTGAAGTATAAGAGAAATAGGGAAGAAAGGTGACTTTTGATGATGATCCATACATCCCCCCTCCCCAAGAAAAGGTGCTAAAACCCATAAGGATTAAGGTTTCAAACATGGATTAAACTTGAAGTTCCATACCTTGACTTGAAGTTGGAGAAATTTGACATACTCAATGATTTCATCAAGCATTAATGCCTTGTCCGTCTGCACAAATGAGGATGAACAATTAGCCTCTTATTGCACTCTGTTTCAAAACAGCATGCCCTTTCTTTCCCCTACAAGAAATTTTGGTTGAAAGTTCAAGCTTCAAAAAAACTCACAGAATATTATACATTTGTTTGCACTTAGCCCCAAATTGGGATAGAAGATAAGAAAGAAACAGAAAGCTAAGGAAATTTAAAGGAATTTTGTGAAATTCCTGAACTTTCTGTTTCTCTTAATTTCTATCAAACCAAACAGAGCATAATAGTCTTTAATTGTTATGATCTTTGAATTAGCCAATTCATAGGTTGTCTCTTTGTAGGCTTACAACATCAGCTATAGCATTGTTATTCTAATTTCCAAGGTTCCTAGATTCTTCTAATTTTGGAAAGGTTGAAAAGAGCCATTTCCAATATTGGTGCTGATAGAACTAGAAAAGCTTGGATTGCCCTGTAAATGGCTAAGTGATAAAAGCCAAAGATCTTTCTGGCAAGAAATATATATTGTAGACATACAATGACTATGAAAAATCTTTTATTGTAGATCCCAATATCTTGATTGCTACAAATGTTATAAGTGTTCTTATGTCTTGACACTTCATCTACACTTGGATCTCATTTGGCAAATCACCCAGTTTGTAATATTGTAGAAGAGGCAAATATATAGATCAAATATCATATTAAGTGCTACTTATTTAAAATATTTTTTCTATTTTTCTTCTCTTCTGATTCTAACCATTCCTCTATACCACTTATTTAAAATATCATATTAGTTATAAGAATGTTTGATACTAATATATTCCAATATAGGGGAAAAAGGTTCTGAGTTCTGACTTAACATAGATTCTTGAGGGACCCTTTTGCATGTTAATTCCAGATATGTGCTGGATTAAGACTATCTTATCTGTGTCCATCCAAAACTGGATTTCAACTTCTCAAACTTGTTTTCTTTGAAATCAACTATATAGAACAAGAACAATACTTATTGGACTGTCCCACTATCCCACTATCTAGCTAGACATGTTAGAACTCTCTACCATCAAGCCATTAGAACTGGACTGGATTGGACTGGTCTAAATGTCCAATTCACTGTATTATTGGACTGTCCAGCTTGCTCAACTTGGGCTGGATTGGACTGGCCCAATTCACTGTCTTATTGTATCTAACCTGACTGAAGTTGCACCACTACTTGTATTTCATTTATGCATTATGAAACCTTGTATTTCATTTCTAACATAATTTAGTTCAGAATAAAGGAAAAATTATAATCCAAATTTCCTTCTGCTCCCCTCTAAAAAGGATAAGAGTGTAAGGGTGGTTGTGATACTTTCCCTCAAACATCCTCAGCCCCTTGGATGACAACTGAAAGTAACCCTACCCCACTCAAGGCTTCATCTTCACATACCATCTTAGACAAGGCTAATCTGACTAATCTAGTTTATGGTCCAGAGGATTGAAGGATATAAGAATGCAGCAATTTGGACTTGTCCAAATAGCCCTTAATTTTCTAGCCTAGAGCTAGATCCTCTAGACAATAGACTTCAGTAAATATTGTGGTTCTAGAGTAATGATGCCATGTAATTTCCTTATGCCTTGTACATGCATGTTCTCTTGCAGGGTGGTTTGATGGGTTGATGATGTTGATATCAGATTATGCAATTTGTTCTTGGAATGTCCTTTCAACAAATTGGCCAAAAATAATGATATTCCTTTGCTAAGATGGAGATATCAAATAAGATTTAGTTTGGGGTTTAATTTTTCTAGTACTAAGGCCTTGTTCGTTTGTAACAATGCACTTATTGCACTTACCCAGGAAACATTTACTTGGGTAAGTGCACTTACCCATGTTCTTTTGATTTTTAGGATTCCTAGATAAATAACAAAATGACATTTTTATCCACAAAAGTAACTATTAAAATGGGTAAAATGGGCCCATCGTGTTTTGTAAAAATTTCTCCAAACTAGAAAGTTACTTACCCACCTGGGAGATGGGTAAGTTTTACCCATGAAAGTAAGGATAATTTTACTATGGGGCTCATTGCTTAATGCAAAAAGAACATAGGAAAGTTGGTCAATGGGAAAAAGTTACCCACTGACCAACTTTCCCCCATGCATATTTACCTACGAATGAGCGGGGCTTAAGGACAATCAATAAAGTCTTGTTTAGCTACTGTAAGAGTAGATTTTATATGCTCTCTTATCTTTGTTAGAATCAATCGTAAATCCACATCCTAATGCAGCTCAAAACTTAATGAAAATTTGTTCTATTAGCCTAAAATTTTGATATGGGTAGTCATTAACTGGTATCCAAGAGACTGTTGGGCCTTCTTATGTCTCCTCAAGATCCTGGCTCTAGTTGGTAGCAGGCCCCATGGATTGATTGGAAGTCACTTTAGACTCAGCTCAAGTCAAGTTGACAGGATTCTTGATCCAAACCCAATCAGAAATTCGGATTTAGTACGAATAAAACCTCAAATCAAAAGATGATAGTGATGCAATACAGGATAAGGCCGATAAGTTTTATGCAAGTTGGGACCATTCCAAGACACATAAGAAGCATAAATGACGCCATCGGCCCAGCTTAGTAAATATTTACCAAGATAGCATCATCACAGAAATTCTATCTTAGTACGTTTTTACCAAGTTGGCACCATTACAGAGTTCCCATCTTAGTTAGTTTTTACCAAGATAACATTATTTTGAATTTATATTCAATTAGGACTCTCCTTTTGAAGGATTTTATTTTGAAGTGTTTTCTTAGATTAGGACTTTCTTTTTAAAGAAGTTTTAGTAGGATTCTATTAGGGAATGTTTTCAGATTAGGAATAGGAGCCATAAGGGCGTAAGCCTATATAAAGAGTAGTTAGGGGAAGGCTAAGGCAGTTCTCTTGTTATGAATTTTCTCTTAATTGTTTAGTAAAGAATTATTCTTCCTAAAATTCGACTTCAACTCTTTTCTTTGAAGCTTTTCTCACATGTTTTGTTTCCATTCTACGACAGATAGCCCACGTTTCAATCATCTATGGGTTAAGCTTGGTTTCTTTTTATCTTTATGAAGAAACACGCCTCTCATGTCATGTCTATAAGTCGGTTCAATGTTCAAATGCTATTAGGTTAATAAAAATCTGTAAAGGAATCTTTGTTCACAAAATATACGTACTAACTGAACTATTAGCAATCACAGAAGCTGAACAACCTTGCGTTCGCAGAATAAATCTCCATCCATTTTAGATGACGACTTTTTAACCTAAAATTAGCTCATTTGTTAGCTAATGCTTGGGATGATGTTACCCTTTTGGTTGGATGTAGAACTCAGATCATCTCTTTTACTACTGGTGCTTGCCAACTCATGCTCTACCTAGTCAAGGAATTTGAACATTCTCCTCTGAGCTAAGCAACTCATAATTTAGTAAAATATTGTTGTATTGTTGGAAAACCTATTGTCCACCCAAAAGGAACCATATTATCACACTATAGATTATATACTTGCTTTTGCCTAGATTAGATTCCAAATGAAAGGAATAATATTAATAGGAGTAAATCTTTTACCATGAGATACTAGCTTCTAGCAATCAAAGGATTGATCACAGATAGGAGAAACTGGGAAAAAAGTTAATTGCAAAGACTTTAAACAGATAGAAACACCCATATGGGAAAAATGTTTACCTTAACCTAACAATAGGTTGTTTACTAGGTCGTTCGAGAAGTGATTGGATCTTTCGGAACAAATGGGTAAAAATTATATTGTTCCAGACTAGCTATCATTATGAACATAGAGAAGATGAAAGGAATTCTTACTACATGATATTGAATAAAGGAATTCTACTCAGTTATGTAATTAGATGAGCTTGAAGCTATTACTCACCATGTAGTGTAGGAGGAAAACTCCTCTAAGCTATTCCTTGGCAACCCCTCCACTCAAAGGAATTATTTATGTTTTCAACAAAATAAGATAAATTAAAATGAGTTGCCTCCTTGTCATAGTTAATAAGTGTTTCATATATACTTCATTCATAATGTAGCAAACTTGTTTATTATCTTCTTATCTATAATGTTTACATCAGTATATAAAAGTCATGGATCTTCAAGAGGCTTGGCCATCATTTAGAATTATCTGTACTTACCTAACAAATACAATGGGTTAACAATCGTTGGAGACTTCTCTTTCATGTTTCTTGTTCATTTATGATTTCAATGATTACATTCTTGGATTTGTATTACTTGTTTTATGAGAGCCTTATTAGTAATTTTGTCTTCATTTGTGTATCCATTTGATGAAATAGCTTGCAAACCAATTTCTACAAATATTTTTTTTCTCCTTTAGAAAATGTTATGGAAAATGAACTTAAACAAACATTTAAAACAATTGACCTATTGAGAGTTGCAAACTTGCAGTTATGACTTCACCTATTGAGACTCCAAACAAGGCAACTGGATCAACCCAATAGCTGCATCCTCCTCTCAATGAAAGGATACCCTAATCCTTGTCTAGGAGGGTAGTTACTGCACACCCCTGGCATGATCTTGAGATAGGTACGTGATTTCAATGCTACATGACATTACTTGATAATTATTCAATCAGTCTTTATTTGTTAAATTCTATTTAGAGCATGGTATTCAAAATGAAACATGAAATTCTTAGTGCTTAATCTTTCAATTATCTGTGCCAATATAATGACATCACAACTTATTGTATTGTATCTTTGGATTCAGGACCTAGAGCTCCAACAATTTTTAACTGTGCAAGGATACTATACTTGATTGATTGATCTCTGAAACCTGGGTTTCATGATGATATGTGATTAATATCCATGTATTGCAATTCTTGTAATAAAGGTTTTCTTCCATCATAAAAAGGTTAAAGAATGCAATCTTCTTGTATGTGTTGACATAAAAGGTTTTAATTTTACCGGGGGGTCAAAAGTTTTGAGTTTTATGGCGGATGAGACTCATTCTGCTTATTGGATTTTACTAAAGAAACTTCCAATTCTTGTAGATGGTTGAAATAAGAAAAGGGAGTAAGATGAAATATGAGCTGGACAAGAAAACTAGCTTGATCAAGGTAATCAAGGAACCCATTGTCTAGCATATTTCTTAGTTGAAATCCCATTCATGTTCATAAAGAGTTTCATTTGCAAGTCAATCGTGTACTTTATTCATCAGTTGTATATATCCAATGGATCCTCATGCAGGTATATGCAAGTGTCTATGTTGAATTCCTACTGACAATAGTATGTTTGAATGATAGTAATGCAATAAGATTTGGATGTTGAATTCTTGCACAAGTATGCAAGAATTGCTTGATATCAAGTTTTCTAAGTATTGAAAACTCAAGAAATGTTAAAACTTCTTCTTGAGCAATAAGATTTGGATCTGAATCTCAATTCAACTCAGTTAAACATTTTTATGGACTGCATGGAGCCAACTACATGAATCTTGCTTCTTCTTTTTTTTTTGATAAATTCTACATGAATCTTGTTTTGCCATTCACTCTCAATGCCACAACCATCGAAGATTTGGATCTTGTTTTCAGGGAACCTAACACCTAAATGTGAGAGAGGGAGGGGAAGAACCATTGTCTAGAATATGGTTCAAACCAGTGGGTGGCTCAGAACACGGTCCAGACCATGAGTCAGACCCATGGTTCAGAACTGTGGGCCAGACCCATAGTTCAAACAATGACCAACCCATGGTTTAGACCCATGTAATGTTTAATTTTAGACAATCGATCCAATATATCCAAACAATAAGCTTTCACCAACAAACCCATGGATGTCATATGATGCATTTCAAGATTTTATTAACCAGTACTACCCCATTAAGCACAAAACAAGTTAATTAGGTATATTTATTTTGTTCTATTTTTTCCTTTAACAAAAACAACAATAGTCCACAAATATGACAAAGTAGGATCCTTGGGAAATTTGCATGCATATTAGAATTAATGCTGAAAAAGGTCATACAAAAGAAGGAAATTCAATTTGATTAAAAGTTAATGTTGTTAACTCTTCTTCATAACCATAATGTTAATATGAGCTAGACAATCCATCAATTGGGCTATTAATGACAAAAAATAACTGAAGAATAAAATAAGCTCATTTATAGTTTTATGGTTGAAACATAGAGTTAAATCAAGAAAATACAATCAGGTCCCTTTCTGGTTCAACACTTAATACAATTTTCAAAAGATTGCTTCTACATGCACATGGAGTTTCTTCCTATCTCAACTCTTAAGTTAGCTATTTGGAGATAAAGCAACAACATAATGGCTACAAAAAGACAACCATATTTTATATAAAGACAACAAAATGCATTTAAAGGTCCTTACTTGCCATAAAATGATGCCTAGTGAAGTGTTGTCCAACCACTCACATCACGGAAATTGATACTAACACCTACAGCTACTATTGGAGCAGCCGCTAAAATGCAGCACACTGTGCCCTTCCTTATCTAACACACTAGGGCCTTTTTCATCTTCAATTACCTTGTAAAGAAGCCATGCATGCGACTTCTCTTCAATAACTTTTGTAGTAATTAATCCTTTATTTGATCTGGAGAAAACTCCTCTAAGGTAAGCTTCACCATATGGAGCCATTCATAATCATCTTCCTTCATTAACAAACCGATTTTATTGCTTATATGAGCTTTCTCACCAACATTGGTGTGAGTAGTTGGGTGACTAGAACATCCCATAGATCAACTTGGGTTTGGCTTGCCAAGTTTTCAGCACTTGCTTTGTGAGATTACAAGGAAAAAAAATCATACTATAGTGTATTTGATGCTAAACAAGGGGAATTATGGATCTGAAATTCTGAATTAGGGAACAAAGTACACTGCTTTAAAACTAAGACAAACATGTTAGGACACTCAAATATAGAATCTAATTTTCAATACAACTCTAAATACCTAATAATAATCCTATTAAATCTAAACAAACTCCAAAATAATCTAAAAAAGACTTAAGTCTACTCACAATCACTCTTACATTGAAATCTAGTTTTAAAATGAGAACCTATACACAGCTACTACTTCAAGTTCTCATGGTTGTTCTTTGTACTCAACATGGGATATATATTTTACTGTATTTCTTCCTTCTATTCTGATTAATTTGTTTTCCTTGTATTGTTTAGGTTGAGTTGAGGAAGAGTACAAATGCAAATTTGTATAGTGTAAAACATCTTCTGCTTTATATACTCTTTAGCTGAAGCAAGTCCATACTCCCTTCCAACGTGTAAATTATTAAATGGTTGTTCTTTAAGAGATATTTTCTTTCTTTGCATTCTATTCTGGGGATAAAACTCAAAATGATGACATTTCTAGAACATAGCAAACCCAAAAATTATGACATTTCTAGAAACCTAGTTTACGTATGTTCCAACTCCAAAATGTTTTGGGTATATAATACAAGAAACTACAATTGTCCCTTAAAATGATGACATTTACATGGTAGTTACTCTCTGTGCCATGAAATAATAAGAAATAAAGAACTCCAATTCTATATGAACTATTATTAAAATATGGAGATCACCTCAAATTTAACACTTGGAGAAAACAAAACTATGAAAGAAGATCATTGTTAGGGTTGTGATTCAAATTCACTAGACTTGATACATCATTAAATGTGATTACTTCTAATGTATGTTTTATACCTACTACTGACTTAATTATCATAAAAAAAAAAATCAAACTTATTAACTAGAAAGAATCAATATAAACAAACAAAAGGATCTAAACCTACAAAAGTTAAGAAATCACTAACATTCACATTCAACTGAATAAGTTCCAGAAGCATCTACACAATGAATACAAAGAGGGAAAGAGAGAGTGTCGCATGTTAATCTCGATATCTGGTTGTCTATTTGGTGCTGAGAAAGCCGAGATTGAGGTTACCCTTTGCTCTCGAGGTCGCCCTTTGGTTGTGAGAAAATTTGACCGAGGTCATTCTTTGGTTGTGAAAAAGGAGAGAGAAAGAGGGAGAGAGAGGGAGAGAGAGAGAGAGAGAGAGAGAGAGAGAGAGAGGGAGGGTGAGACACAGAGAGTGGGAGAAAAATGAGAGAGTGTGCGAGCGAGCAAGATAGAGAGAGCGGGAAAAAATGAGAGAGAGTGAGAGCGATGTTTAGGGATTTATTCGGGGGAGGAGAAAAGGAAATTTGGCGCCACAATCAACAATGTTTTTAGCAGCGATTTTAAACGACTGCCACTATATATTAGTATTATTAGCGGCAGCCGGTCGATAGCCACTTCTTGAACTACCACTAGAAGTGTTTTTTTTTTTTGTAGTGTTGGCATCATTTATGCCAAAATAAGAATCAGTTAAAAATCGAGAAATCACTAGAAAAGGTGATCCCTGAAAAGGGCTGATTTCAATAATCTATTTTTGACTGATTTCTCATAAATTGGCATAATTGACCAACCAAACAAGAAAAAAAATCATTGAAAAGGGTTGCTTTCAATACACCCTGATTTTACTTTCCAACTTTTTCCTCAACTTTCTATTTTTCCCCATTGTATATATTGTCATTGCAAAATAATTATAAAAAATAGATAAAATGAAGAAAACAGTATAAATTAAAAAAACAAAGAAATACACAAAAAATATAGAAAATCACAAAAATCTTTATACCATATACTAAAAAAATGAGAATGATGCAATTGGTTTGGTCAAAGCACCCTGATTTTACTTTCCAAATTTACCCTCAACTTTCTATTTTTTTTCCCATTGTATATATTGTCATTGCAAAATAATTATGAAAAACATAAAATGAAGAAAATAATATAAATTACAAAAAACAAAGAAATACATAGAAAATTTACAAAAGAAAAATATAGAGAATCATAGAAATTTCTATATACCATACTAAAAAATGAGAATGTTGCAATAGGTTTGGTCAAAACACCTTGATTTTACATTCCAACTTTACCCTCAACTTTCTATTTTTCCCATTGTATATATGTCATTGCAAAATAATTATGAAAAACACATAAAATGAAGAAATAATATAAATTACAAAAAACAAAGAAGTACATAGAAAATTTACAAAAAAAATATAAAAAATAACATAAATTACAAATCTATACCATACTGAAAAATAAGAATGTTGCAATTGGTTTAGTCAAAAGACCCTAATTTTACTTTCCAACTTTACCCTCAACTTTCTATTTTTTCCCATTGTATATATTGTTATTGCAAAATAATTGTGAAAAAACACATAAAATAAATAAAACAATATAAATTACAAAAAAACAAAGAAACATAGAGAAAATTTACAAAAAATATAAAAAATCATAAAAATGAAGAAAAAACATAAATTACAAAAGAGCAAAGAAAAACCATAAATTACAAAAAAAAATGAACAAAATTGTAGAATATAATAAGAATTTATATCTGCTACCATATATAAAAATGAAAATGATTCAGTTAGTGTGGTCGAAAGACCCTGATTTTTCATACCAATTATACCCCTTAGCTTTTTGGTTATTCAAACATCGCCCAATTCTATATGAGGGTACATGATAGTTGTTAGCAAAAATTAAAGAAAAAAGGCATTGTCTTTTCTAAAAAGCCATTGGGTGGGTTAGGTACTTAGGTTTGGGTTGAGCTTCAACCAAACCCACCAAACCCATCAACCCGTTACCAACCCACCTAATGCCATCAACCCGTTAATGATCCATTTTGGGTTGAACCCAAACCCACCATAACCCAACCCAACCTGCCCAATCCATTAATTTTTCACATAAAACATAAATTCTAGAAAAATATAACTATAAAAACTACATAATATATAAATAAAGATAGAAAGTTTAGAAAATAAAATAAATTAAAGAAAAAAATAAAAATTACAAAATAATTATGAAAAAACACAAAAATGAAGAAAATAATATAAATTACAAAAAATAAAGAAATACATAGAAAATTTTCAAAAAAATTAGAAAATCATAAAAATTGATGAAAAATAACAAAAATTATAAAAAACAAAGAAAACCATAAATTATAGAAAAATGAATAGAAATTGCATAATAAAATAAAAGTTTATAGAAAAACATAACAAATGAAAAAACATAACAAAAATACAGAAATTTCATTCCATGGGCCTAGACATGTTAGTCAGGCCTAGATCTTATAAGGGCATTTGGCCATTAGGGTTGTACGTTAACATGTGTGTAGTTGTTAAGTAGAGCTTGGAACTCGTGTCCTCAGTCGTATGCAACACTGTGACACATTATGAATCATTTAGTTGTTTTATTCTTGGACAAATGTGTAGAGGTGATCAACGTGCCTAGAAGGTGTTTGCATACATGTTACTTTAGTGGTTGATTGATAGATTTTACTTCTAACTAATTTCTTTATCTCCTCTTAGTTAAAAAGTAAGAAGAAAATGTTTTTAGGCTTAAATGTGAGTTATTTAATAGTCACATACTCATATTAGATAATGGCTTTGCTTTTCAATGGTTACTTGATTGATAAATTTTGCTTTCAATTAATTTCTTTATCTCCATAAATTTTGTATTTCATTGTGATGAACTGTATTTATATATAATGTTGTTGAATGTAATTTTGTTATTGATTGGGTGCATTAATGTTTCAATCTGATGCATTTGAAATCAACGTTTTATAATTATAAAATTCAAATATTGGCATTTTGTGTGGATAGTCTTTTTTATGTATTATATAATTGTTTTAGGACTTGAATGATATTTGAACTTTCATCTATTCCCCAAATATAAAAGTATAGTCAAACATCATCATCAATATCAAATGCACGGGCCTTTCCACTAGTATTAAAAAAAGATAATATGATTATGAGAGGAATGCACTTTACTCTTACCAAAAGAACATGCATTAGAATGTGTCTACCCAAAAGTAAGGAACAAATTCATGTGTGTGCTGGATTGAGGCAGTAAGCTACTGAAACACGGGACAAAAAGAGACGTTTTCCTGATTTCATGGTTTGGCTCTAAATTACCGCATCTTGGAGGGTGGAAGACTGGAAGTGTTTGTGTCGTTTTAGCTGAAAGGTGGGCCCATAAGGGTTACTAGCTATTCTGAAAACTCTTAATCTCGAGGATAACAGATTATTGGGAGAAATATACTGCAGAATTCTGAAATTACAGCCTCCCATAGTCTACTAATAGCCCCCCCTATAAAATTCTGATTCTGAGTGGGCTGAACAGTCATTCTCCCCACGTTATTTGCCGTGCAAAAATTCTTAACCCTTTGGTTTATGCTGTGATTTCACAATTCCACTCCCTCCGGTTTATATTTCTGATCTGTTTTTCCTTATTCCCGATATCCTGCATCACCCATGTAAGATATATTTTAATGTTTTATATCCTCTATTTGTAAGTCCTAGGATTCTTATTTACGTTAGATAATACATCTTACTTTTACTTGTCATAGCAACGTAATCCTAATTCTAGGTTTTCACAATGCATCTCTAAGGTACATATTTTTGCAGAATAGTTTATTGGAATCCAGTGAAGATTTATTTGGAGTGCAAAGTGATTGGGTGAGAGACTTCTAGCAAGGTGACTATTGTTTAGAGATTACTGAAGGACTCTGCTGTACAACTTCAATTTGATGACAGTCTTAGAAAAGGTCACAAAACCCCTACAGCTGCTGGAATTGGGGGTTTGTTCTGCAAGTCCAGTGGCGACTTATTATGGGTTTACATTGGACCCACCTCAGCAGAATATGCACTAGAAGCTGAAATCGGAGCACTTATAGAAGGTCTAAGGATTGCTAAGGCTCTTTAGATCAGCTCCCTTGTAGTGAAAGGTGACTCCAGAATGCTAGTGGGCAAAAGCTCAGGAATCAGGCCCTTGGAAACTCTCCCACTTCTTACATGAAATCCATGAAATTTGTTCTATAACGTTGTGTAGATTCAGATGGATTCCCAGAGAACTGAATCATGTGGCTGATGGGTTAGCTAAATCTGGTTTGTGAAGGGATTTTTTGCATAGTGCAAATACAATGCCTTCTTAATTGTTTGGGCTCTTGCTTTTTTTTTTTTTTTGTTTTGATTAAGGCCCTAGTACATCCTCTAATGTACACCCTCCTCTTTTGGATTATAAATAAAAAGATTTCAAGCAAGTGAAGAGTAGGCATATGACTGCTTCATTAATTAAGAAGATGGGCTTCAAATAACAAAATAAGGAATGCTGGGTTAGTGATTGTAGTTAAATGATGGTTCATTGAATTGTATCAGGATAGCAACCTGCTGTTCTCAGATCAGTCCTAAAAGGGGTGTAACAATTCCTATGTTTTCTAGGTGATGTGTGTTGCAGCACTTGTCATTGATTTCATTTTTTATTGAGTCTATGAACCTCTTAAATATCCATATTACGCAATTTTCTCATTACAATAAGATATTACTTGCATCCTGCAGTACAAGCCTGTGAATCTTCATTAGAACATTATAGAATGGTTTTAAATTAGAGGTTTAGTAATTCATTTATATTGTTTTTTCTGCTTAATCAGGTCGAAAAGACTCAGTATAAGGGATGCCTCCTTTTAGCATATCAGAGTTTTTGGGGTGGTATATGGTGACTTGAGCACATCTTCACTATATGCCTGTAGAAGTACATTTTCAGGGAGGTTGCACAGCTATCAAAATGAGGAAGCAGTATTTGGAGTACTTTCCTTCATTTTTTGGATTTACACTGCTCCCGTTGTTGAAGCATGTCATCATTGTATTGAGTGCAGATGATAATTGTGAAGGTTAGAAGTGATACAATTTTATTTTTATTGATACTACGGCTCTTCTGTCCTCCATTTAATGGATATCTTCTGATATTTTTGAAATTGCATACAGGTGGTGTAACATTTGCTTTGTACGCACTTCTTTGTAGACATTCAAAGTTGAATCAACAAGCATTTCATGAGGAGCTCTCAACAGATTATAATCACGGTCACTTGAATTGAAACCTAGCTGCATCTTGATTGAGAAAATTTCTCGAGAAGCATAAAAGGATTAGAAGTGCTTTACTTGTTATAGTTGTACTTGGCGCTTGCATGATGATAGGTGATGGTGCATAAACACCTGCAATTTCTGGTAAGAAAATTTTATTTTCCCATTTTCATTCTTTTCACATTTTTCTATAAAAGTTTAAAATGGAGTGTCTATAGTAAGTTTTTTTTTTTGTTGTTTATTTCCATCTGTCATGCATGATGCTTGTACTGAACTAAATATTTGTAACTTGTAGTTATATCATCTATAGCAGGGTTTCAAATTCGAGACAAAAACTTACCTAATGGTGAGTTATACTACCATTTTTTTTCCTTTGGCTTAGTTCACAGAATTTTGTTGGAATTTGATAGCTAGTAATGCCTTGAAATATGTAACTATGCACTATTGTGTAGCCATCTTATCTTATTTTGTGTTTGCATCAAAGAATATTTTATTGAAGATAACAGGAAAAAACAAAATTTTGTCTAGATACACCTAAACAAACTACAAACTGAGACCCTTACAAGTACCCAACACTTGAATTGTACAGGTGAAGAAAATGGATCAAAGGAGTAGTGAGCTAGTTTCATTGGACACCTAACTGAGCTAGTAAATAATCATTGAAGTGTTGAAACAGGAGATGAGGCCACAGAAGGGTGTGGGATAGAATCAGAAAGAAGCAAGTTTGGTGTTCTGGTCTTTTACATTCTTATGGGGGTGGGGGTTCGGTCTTGTGTGGCAGGTTAGGTGTTCTGGCTCTTCTAGAGGAGTGGGCAGCCACCATGAACCTCTCCAGCATCACCTAACTTGTAAGTCATTATAATTATTAGATATGCTTTTGTAGGAGACTGATGCTTTGAAATATGTTAATCATCTTCTCTGGGGTTGAACTGATGCATCTTCATCCCTTCTGTGGAGCAATGCATGTGACAAAAGTAATAGGGGCATCATGAATGCTTAACCTTGCCATGTTATGTTATGGGCCCGGGCGTAGGATCTTGTCACGGGTTGGTCCACGGGGAGAACCTCTAGTTTCCCCTTGCCCCTCCCTTTGCGTGCTGACCCAATCGTGGCGACCTAAGGGGTGATTTGTCCAAGAGATCACCCTAACTCTCCTTTACTCTTCTCTTTGACTGAAATTTTGGATGCCTTTATTCAATAATAGTGGCTCCTTAAATAGGAGATTACAAGAGTCCTGCTCTTAGGGAGACTCCTTGCTGAATAGGGAGACCTCCAACTCTATCTTGATAAGATAAGACTGATAAGATAAGATAAGTCTCTCTTAATCCTAATCTAATAAGATAAGATAATCTAATCTACTAACTTAATAAGATAAGAATAACAAGATAGTCTAATCTAATCTGCTGAATGGATAAGACTATTGCTGCCGAATTGGATAGGATGAGAACACTGGATAATTGCTGCTGCTGCTCCCAATACGCGTCCACATCATGTTATCACTCATGGTAAGATCATGAGGAAAACCATGTTATATGTAGCACTTCTGAGTAAATAAGAGGAAGGAAAAGCAAGAGTTTTCTGGAATCAGATGATGCAACAACAAAGAGTGATGGAGAGATTTTCTTTAGGATTAATTTCATTGGGTAAAAATCACAAAGAAGTTAAAGATGCTCAATATAATTGCTATTTAGGGTTTTGGAACCTTACCCTCCTCACAAACCAAGATGATACAAGTGTGCTTTCTGCCAAGTGAGCACTACCAAACTAAAATTCAACCATTGCTCCTTGGGCGGGTCCATCAGGTGTTGTCGAGTGTTTGGGGATGGCCATGGGGTGATTACACTATCTAATTTGTCCTGTGACCTTGTGTGATTTTGCAAGGGTAAATATTCTGTTCTTGTTGCAAGGCCTTTATCAGTTGCCACTAGTATTGAGAGACTTATTATTGATGACTCTGACATTTTAATTGATTGGATGGTAAATTGCTCTAAGGCCCTTGGTGGCTTTGCTACCAGATAAGAGAGTTGTCTTTAGCAGTCTGGTTGAAACACTTGTTCAGATGGGTTCCAAACTTTCAATGTCAGTCAATTTTTGTGAACCTACAAGTGGTGTGATGAGGGTGAGCTATTTTTGCATCTTGTGGTGCCTCAGCTACAATTTTCTTGAACTTAGATAGATGCCTTCTAAAACTCTCTCCTTTTACTTGTGAAGAATTGCTGCTACGTATGCTTTGGTAAGGAATGATATTCCATTATTTTGCTAATGAATATAAAAAATTAAAGCAAATAGGTGTTTCAGGATGTTATGAAGAGAAAGGGAACCGGGGAGGAAGAAGAGGTATCATGTAATATTTTGATGTGGCAACTTCAATTCTCTAGAGTAGAAGGAATCAATGTTGTCAGACTCAGACCAGACTGAACCTGTTTGGTGACTGAGTTGTGGATTGCCAACTCATTCAAATAAAAAATGTGAAAAAAAAAATTAAAAAAATGGAAAACAGTTCTAGATTATTAGTAGGTATAAAACATATTTATATATGTAAATGTGTAAGTTTTATGGACAAAAGGGAGGCAAACTTGGTTGATGCTCTAGCCAAACAAAGGGTTTTATAAAGAAAACTTGTATAGGTGAACCATATGTTGGTGAGATTAATAATTATCCAAAAAAAATGTTGGTGAGATTGATAGATGATGCAATTCAAAATTGTTTGGAGTGCTTGGAACTTCCTCTTGTAAATAAGTTTTATTTCAATTAATAAAGCAACCGGTTACCGATAAAAAAGGGAGTAAGCTTGAAAACTGTTTTGGTTGCTGGTTCCTAGTTGTGGTGATCCAGCTATCCAGTCTGGTCTGAGTCTGGAAGGAATGCCGTTTTCTGTTATTATGGCTATGGAGAGGGAAGGGATCTTGTAAATAGCTTCTAATTTTAAATGCTCATATAATCCTTATTTTTCCTATTATCCTTTTTCTTGTTCACATGCATGAAAGTTACTTTCACTCTCATAGGGATACAGGTATTAGTTGTCACATCAAGTATTATATTGGTTGGGCTCTTTGCTTTGCAGCACCATGGTACCAAGAAGGTGGCCTTTATGTTTGCACCTGTTGTGATACTATGGGTAGTATCCATTGCAATGGTTGGCATCTACAATATCATTAAGTGGAACCCAAAAGTCTACTGTGCTCTTTCCCTATACTATATTTACAAATTCTTCAGAGAATCAGGAAGCAGCTGGGGTTCTATTGATGTGTTATTCTTTAATAATCTGATTAGTGAACTTGTTTAAGCTTTCTTCTCATCCACAGAAAATAAATTTATGTTTGCAGACCTTGATCACTTCACAAGTACATCCGTAAGGGTATGTGAAACTGACTTATACCATATAGGACAATTGATGCATTGACCAAATCTGCACTTTGTTGAGTAGGAATGTCAATGGGTACGAAGTTACCTAACTATCCCATCACCCATGTATCAATTACAATATCCTAAATTAATATGGACCACCTTAAATTTTGGGCCCAATCAAGAATTATATCACTTTCAAGTTCCATCCATAAAGGATGATTACTATAAAGGTCCACTAGCAGCTATCTGAATAAAGCCTTCTTGCCCCATGAACATGAAGACAACCATTCACCCAAATAGCAGAAAGGCAATGCATTGACAATATACAATTTAAGTCAACCATTATGAACTAAATCAAAGTGCTTGGATGTGTAGTTAATATATTGAATAGGAGGTAAATGGATATGTGACAGAACAGAGTGGAATAGTGGAACAGGATTCAAGTAGCTGACCCAATATAGTTGGAAATGGCACAAGGTTTTGTTGAGTTGAGAGAGCAGGTAAATGGATGCTGCTAGAGCACTTAACTATTTTTCTGTGGAATCTGTATGGCATGATTGAAAGCTTCTTTGTTCTATCACATGGTGGTTGTGCTAGTGATTCTTGTTATTTCTTTTGTTATGAGAGGTATTGACTCATCAAATCAAACCTAAGGAATTTTTGCCATGATCAGGTTGCATTTGCTGGAATTATTTATCCCTGTCTTGTACTTCAATATATGGGGCAGGCAGCATTTCCTTCAAAGAATTTCTCTTTCATATCTATAAGCTTTTATGCATTCTAGCATAGATCCTGCATATTTAGGTGGGAAAGGAGGTTTAGGCACTATGATTTGATGAGCTCTATGCTTTGATCAGTGCTGACAGGGGAATCTTGGGGATCAAAATTTGGCATGACAACTTTTCTGATTATCAAAAATGTTGCATTTAATTATAGTCAGAAAAATTACATAATAGCATGTAAAATTATTGGATAGTTTAAATAGACTGCTATAAATGGTGTAAAGGATCCCTGGATAAACGCACTGGCAGTTCTCATGATAAACAGGCATGCCCTTCTTCTGTGTCTTTTACATAGTGATGCCGTTACTCTGTATTAAAAACAAACTTATTTTTCTTTTACTTGTTATTGTGTAGAAGTTGTGTTTTGGCTAGTGTCTGTGGTGGAAAATCTGGCCATAGTTGTTTCCAGTCAGGCTGTCATCTCTGCAACATTCTTGATTGTCAAACAATTCCATGCATTGGGTTGTTTCCCATGTGTCAAGGTTGTACACAGGTCAATATGGATATATGTTTAGGTCTATATCCAGGAGATAAAACTGGTTCCTTATGACTCTCTGTCTGCCAATCACAATAGGTTTCCATTAAACAACCATTATAGGAAATTTCTATGGTAATTCAACTTTGGTTAGAATAATTGTTAAGTTTTTGAAATTCTTGTTGCCTTGGTCATATATTTGCTGCATGGGCATATGTATTTGACTACTTGCTATTTCTACCCACCCGTTGATCCTTATATTGTGGGGTTGACCAAGTTCTACTGGAGTCCAACTTGGTACCTAAGTAGTGGGATAAAACAATTTATGCTCAAATCTGGCTTGTACTAACTGCAAGGGCCATTTCATTAAGAACCTTCCTTCATTCTTATTGAGTCCCTAGTTCAGGCCAATGATTCCACATAATTGCAGACATAGCTCGGGCCCATGACATGTTGGGTCTGAAGAGCTAAGAGATGCATTTCTTAATTTTAGACTTCAGCAGGAATGCAGGTTTGAGCATGTTGGGCCCATGACATGCTGTTTCCTTTGTATTCAGAGCTAAGAGTTGTATTTCTTAATTTCAGGCATTATATGCATGATTGTTATGTTTGTGATTCATTGTTGGTGGCACTATTAATCATCGTTGTATGGCAGAAAAAAAACGCCATATTTGCCTTTGATCAAGGTTGTTTGTCTTTCATCTTCCTTTCTACAGATCCCTCCCTCAGGGGGGGATGGATGCCTCTTGTTCTGTCCACAATCTTCTTGATTTTTATGTTTGTTTGGAACTTGGGAACCAAGCGGAAGTATATCTTTGACCTACAAAACAAGGTTTCAATGAAATGGATCCTCACACTTGGTCCCAGCCTGGGGATCACAAGGGTCCCGGGAATTGGTCTGATCTACAGAGTTGGTTACTGGAGTTCAGTCATTTTCTCTCATTTCGTGATCAATCTCCCAGCTTTTTACCAGGTGCTTGTCTTTGTGTGTACATATGTTCCTGTGCCCTATATTTCTGTTGATGAACGGTGCCTCATTGGCCAGATTGGACCAAAAGGCTATAGGCTGTACCGTTTTATTGTTTGATATGGATACAAAGATGTTTTGAAGAATGAAGAGAACTTTGAAAGCACTTGTGATGAGCATAGTTAAATTCGTCCAATTTGAAGCTGAGAGTCTTGCATTCTCAGAAGGCTCTGTCAATGGCCAGATGGCAGTGGTGCGGGATTTTGGGAGGTTTGGGACAATGCTGATGATGTGGGAATGTTCTGATACCAGTGAAAGTAATGAATATGACTAGCATGAGAATCAGCATGTCACCAAAGTTGCAGAACATGCAGTCTCTGTATGAGCAGGAATGCCCTTGGCTGAGTTGTAGGTATTGTGTCTAGCTTGACATACCCAATGCCAAGTAAATAGATCCACAGGTTAAGGTCCTCAAGGAAGAACTTTTGGAGCTCGTCCTTTCTAAAGAAGTTCGTTGTTGATGTGGCACATTCCTTCCTCCGGAAGAACTGTCGGAGGACTGCAATGGCCCTAAATACCCCTTGTATCACTCTAATTGAGGTAAGCATGATTCATGTAGATGCAAAGTCCAACTCTGGTGGTCCAGAATAAAGGACTTAAATAAAACCCAACATCAGGATTTACTACAAAAACATTTTTCTTTCTCTGGAACATTTGGAAAAGGAGCAGCAAAATATTTAACAAGTCTACACCCATGGAGCTAATACTTATACTGTTCAGTTTTATCACAGGTCATTTGTCCAATGCCTCATTGTAGCAAAACCTCTGGGTTCAAATACATGGCTCATGAAATTCTTGATTTGTATCCACCTGCTTTTACATCACTTTAGCCTCTTGTACTTCAATGTTTTGATAAATAATCCCTTCTATAACCAATCCATCAAATGAATTAATGGTATATCTTATGTTAGACATTTCTTTTCTTAGTACAAACAAAAAATTTGGAAAAGGAGGGGGCTACACGAATCTGGGAACTAGTCCAATCTCAAACTCCCTAAAAGCAAATATACTTGAAAAAATCGTTCCATATTCATATTGTGCTTCTCCAGTTTAGCCCATCAGCAGCCTGATTCAACATTGCTCTCATACAATGCTACGACAACCTCTTATTAGGCTATTATGTTCCATGGGAGAGCAATAATACTCTGAAAACTTTCAGGGCCTGTTTGGTTTGTAATTGGAATTGGAGTGGTTTATTCCTATTGTTTCAGACAGGATTTGGAATGGGAATTGGAATCAGCTAGAATGGGATTTCATTCCCAAGGAAAAAGGGAATGACCATCTATACTACTATTAATAGTGCAAATGATAGTGTGAAACTTTTGTTTGATTAAAATACCCCAATTTTTTTAATTTGATCCCTCTCTAGACAAAAATGTAATTTGAACATCAACTTTTCTCTTCATTCAAATCCTTCTCATTAAGTCCTATATTTAAGGTATTAATTCCCATTAACATTCATTTAAACCTACTCTTGATTAAAATACCCTTATTTTTGAATTAGTCCTTCTCTAATTGTGAGGATACAAAATATAATTTGAGGAATTAAGTCAAGTCTTATATTTAAGTCCCTCTCTAATTGTGAGGACACATTTCTCCTCATTCAATTTCTCTTATTAAGTCTTATATTTAAGGAATTAACTCTCATTCTTTGATTGAATCATATATTAATTAACCATATTAAAGGAAAGTAAATTGCTGAAATCTCCCTTGAAACCTCCTCTTAAATTTGATAATGGAAATCACCTCCCATGTACTTCATAACACAATTGCAAGTAGACTCCCCTGTTAGAATCTTCTAATAAGAGGCACAAAAATGTCCAAAATACCCATGCAGTTGCTTTTGACCAAAATGTTTATTTTCCTAATTTTCTCTTCATATTAATCTACCCAAGCCCTTCCAATATCTTTTTTGAAATTGATTTACTTTTCACATTTAATCATCATATCAATTTCCCCAAGGTAAAGTTGTTTGAAGAAATCAGCTTCAATAGTAATTGTTTAGGGGAGGTGATTGCAATTACCAAAATTCAGAGAAGGTTTTAGTGACGGTCAAAAGCTTCAAGGGAGGTTATAGCAATTTATCATAAAGAAAAATAAGGACCCACTTGGTTTACGAGAATAGGGGTCTGGAATCAGAATCAGAATGGGCCATTCCAATTCCAACTGCTTGGTTGGACAGAATCCGAATCCCATTTCCATTCTTGGTGGAATGGCATTCCCCCATTTGAGGGAATGACCACTCCTTCCTCTTCCCTCGGGAATGAAATCCTATTCCAGTTGATTCCAGTTTCTATATGAACCAAACACACTATAGGAATGGACCAGTCCAATTTCTGAGACGGATTACGATTCCGATTCCAATTCCGACTCTGAACCAACACAAAAGTGAACTTGTTTTCCTATTTGGTGACAAGTCAACAATTCAGCCTTTTGGATCAAATGTGTCAATGCTATATATCATAATTAAATAATAATAAAAATTTAAAAAAGGTGAAAACACACAAAAGTATAAAAAATATAAAAACTTCTATAGAAAACATTTGGGTACCTCTCTAATATCATATATTCAGCATATTGACAAAAATAAGTGTGACAAATAAGATTAATTTTTATTGGTATAAGCAATATACAAGATTTTGCCATTTTGGAAACATATTATTTTTTATTATTATTATCATAAAAAATTGCCATGTGCGCATGTTTACTGGTTCTACCCAACCAAACAGTTGGAATCAAAATGGGCTATTCGATTACAGACCCCTATTCCCAGAAACCAAATGGGTCCTCAATTACATTGTGAGCTTCAAGTCGATCCGACCAGCCCGACCCAACCTTGAGAGGCCAAACTCGAGTCTGCTAAGAAGCCTAAGATTTACTTCATATTGGGCTACGATTGATTTTAAGCCGGATTCAACCCGCCCGAGTTGTTCTTTATAATGTGGGCCCTACGTATTAGACTCGCGTTGCGTAATGCGTAACCCTGTTTGGCTGATTGCCACGTGTACTGTACCTTTTTCACTAGTTGCTTTAAGGGATGATACTGGGCCAATAACAATATGCCATGTCGTTCTAACTCTAGCATTTTTCCTAATTTTTCTCCTTTCTATTAAAAAAAAGTTTGCTAATAGATATCCAGAGTCCAGACCCGTTCCCGTAGTATTCGTGTACCGGTCTCAGATCCACTATAATCGGATGGGACCTTCCGTCAACCAATCTGACCCATATTAGAGAGACGTCGGGGCGATTGCAGTTAGCAAAAGCCACTGTCGCGAGCATGGCAGCATCTCTCTGCATCTTTCATTCTCTTGTTTTGCCTTTAAACGTGCTAAACTGCGAATCCATTGACATGGTGTGTAGAGGTTATGACCACTACGCAATTAGCGCAAGATAGCGCAATTACCAGCACGAGTTACTTCGATCGTCCTCAAACAGTTCGACACCGCCTGGATTGGGTTCGTACGCACTTCAGTCGCGCGCTTTCCTTCATAATTGAAAGAGGAGCAGTTATCGCCTATGACGTTAAAGCAGAAGGATGAAGTCGAGGATTAGGGTTGTGTTTTTGTGATAGAAAGTTCTCTAGGGTTTTGTGTCATCACCATAGTTTTCGGATGCTTAGAACTTGGTCTTATTATTTATGTGATGCAGAGGAATAGGGGCTTTTTGCGCGGGGTTCTAATACACATTGCCCCATGTTGAGTACTTGTTCCCAATGTCTCGCCAGGCGTCCTATTATTGTATCACCTTCCTTTCCTCGGGTCAGGGTTTTGAAGCGAATCGGTAGTTCTTGGCCACTCAACAACAGGAGCTTACGTCTCGTTGAATCTCATTCTAGGTCTTCAAACAAGGTAAGATTATATTTATTTTTGGTCCAAATTTGCTTTCGGGTTTTATATTCAGTCTATGAGAATTCAGTCAATGTTGTTGGACAGTTCTTTGCCCCTTCACTTTTGTTTAGTTTTCAGCAGACGACAGTGAGATTTTGGAGAAGATTAGTTTTTCTTTTGTAAAAATAAGGTTGTCTTTCGAGTAATTTTTATAAGATGTAGATGTAAATACTTTGTTGCTTTTTTTTCCCTCTAATTTTGATCTCTATTGTCTTGTAGAAATGGAAGGTTTCGTGCTTTAGGCATGAAGACTCTTCTTCAGATACATCCGAGTCTGAGCTTTCAGAAGACAACCTCCCAGGAGAGCTGGTCGAACCTGAACTGAATCGATCAGACGTTGTAAAAAAGGATTGTGTTTTAAGTCTAAAAGAGGTAGCTTTTCTTTATCTAATTTCTTTCTACATCGTTTTATTTTTGATATTTCATTGTCATGGAATATTTAATGGTATTGGGTTTGGGTAGCATAAACCGTACTTGTTGCTTATCACAACTGCATACTTCACTTGGTGTCACTTGTTGGGTGATCTTAAGTGTTTAAAATAGAGATAAACATAACAGTTAGAATTGAAAAAGCAGTTTACAGTTGGGAATAAGTTCATTCATCAGATCTTTAGAATTATTGGATTAGAATGGGCTTGTTTGAAGATATGGCCAGTCTACGGTGTCTATTACCACAAATCAGTGTGGGGCCAGCATCACCATTAACTATTTCTTCTTTCTTGTTTCTACCTTTAACTTTTAAGAGTTTCTTACTTTCTTATATGGATTAAACATCATTATTCATCCGGAAGTGAATCACTATGGGCTTTAATTTTTAGCATGTAGGCAAATTATAGATTTCACTTTTGGCATTTTTATGCTTCATGGAATTAGAATTAGGTGATTTGAGTCATGAAATAAGGCCAATTGGCTCAGGTGCAACCTTGCAGCACCCAAGTTGCTCACTTTTACTTGTTCTAAGCAAGGGTGAAATTATAGAATGAGCAAGGCTTCCTCTGAACCATGTGATTTTTATTAAAGCTTGAATTCTAATAGTACTATTTTGGTCTGTATGTACCCTTGTGTTTTACTAATTTGTAGCTAGTTGAGTAGTTGTGGAGGCTTTTATGAGATGAAGGATACTCTTCACCCTGCATTTTTCTGCAGGAAAATTCCAAGTGAGGCACTGCTTTCTTTTAGTGATGTGAATTCTTTCTTTTCTTGCCTTCAGCCCATATATCATTCTTGCTGGTTGCTGGAATAAGGCCTAGACTTGAGCAAGAACTGGTGAACTAAACAGGTCATGTAGACTCATTGTTGCCCAGAATGAGCAAAAGTTTGGACTTTGGTGGGGCCCACTTCAGCAAATCAAACATAGCTTATGTTTAGAAGGCCAACATTAGAAAAAGATTTGTTGGGAAGCTAATAATTTATGCAGTCATGTGGAGCATTTGGGAAGAATGGAACTAACAAAATATCTGAAAACAGGAAGACATCATTTTGAGGCCTTGGGTATCTGCATACTCTTTATCATTAGCTTTCGGGTGGTGGGTGTATATATTTAAAGAAATCGCTTTTATGATTTTAGAAGGAAATTGCTTGATATTCATCAATCCTTCCTTGGTTGTCTTTCCAGTTGGTGGTGATATCAAAGTACAGTTTGATGGCTGTTTTAAACCCAGTATTTTAAAAGCACAAGGTGCAAGGGTCAATTTGCGCCTGAGGTGCAAGGCGCAAGGCGAGGTGCATGCCTTTTTGAAGCAAGGTGCAAAAATACAAAAAAAATCTAAAAAATTAAAAATGCCAGAAAATTCAAAAGAAAGCCAAAAATCAAAAATAAAATAGTAAACATAATATTAATAAAAAATATAAACTTAAATTTTAAATAATGTTTTAAAAAACCTATTATCTAAAATTAAAATACATAAACATAAGATGTAAAGAATATTCAAATGAGAATTTAAAAATAAAATCAAACATATAAAACATTTTCAAGCATGTAAAACCTATAATTTTTCACTCAATTGCATTACTTCAAGTAGCTAATGTAATGTAAAACATATTACATTCCTGAATCTACGAGTCGCTTTTGTGCCATGCCCCTCGAGGCCCAAACAAGTCCACAATAGGTCTTAAATTCGAGAACCCTCAATTTGGTAATGTTGTTCATTCATTCATCCTAATAATTTGTCTTCTTGAAAAGCAATTAAAACTACAAAATCATTATTTTTTGTGTGGAAACTAAGAATTTAAGACCTAATGTGGACTTGCTTGGGTTGGCCTCGCGGGGCGTGGCATGGGGGTTTGGGGGTGGAGCCCTTGGCCCAGCCGCTATGTTCAATAAAAGCAAAAAAGCATCAAATTTTCAAAAGGCGCACGCGTAGGCGCACCAGGCATGCGCCTTTTGAAAGAGCTGCGCCTAGGACCTAGGCGAGGCGCATACCCTGAAATGCGTCCTTGCCTGTGCGTCTAGGTGCGCCTTTTAAATCACTGTTTAAACCTTGATCTTGTGAATCTTTTGACCTTTTAGTGTTGAATGAAAACATGAATTATTAATATAGAAGTGTTCCAAAGGATAAGGACTTTACGTTGTTCATTTTTGTGTCTATATCCTTGAAATATTAATACAGTACAAGATCCCCTATGGTTTTTGATTCTTAAATCAGGCCCGAAACCTTGTATTTCCTGTTCTCCCCTACCATTCTCTCAAATCCTGAAGAAAACACCATCTCTCTCTCTCTCTCTCTCTCCCCCCCCTCCTCCCTCCCCCCAAGCCCCTATCAGTGGACAAGATCTTCTCACCCTCTCTCATCCTTGACACATTCTTTTTTATTGGTGGCTTTTTAAAATTTTATTACTTGTGGTAAAATAATGGAATTATGGAACTAACTTATCATAATGAAATGGAATTATGGCAGGACTCATGTAGCTGAACCCCATATAGTTGGGACAAGGCTCAGATGTTGATGATGATAAAAGAAGAATGGAATTATATAGTAGGAAAGCATACCAAGCACCCTGCACCCCAAAAGGGAACTTAGGCCAACACCCAACATTTTCTACCTAACCATGAGTTTATTCACTTTACTAATCATACAATCAAGTTTCTAGATTGGTAACCGCCCAATAGGTGTAATTCAGGTTGGCTTGACTGAGTTAGGTTTGGGCTCAGGCCTTCAGGCCGGGTCCATTGAAATTTTGACAAAAGTCTAATCCAAGCTTGCCCAATTTGCACCGCTACTCAATACAATTAACATCCCTCTTTTAATAACACAAAAGAACTTCCCTAAAAGTAATAGAAGTAGGGGTGAGAATGGGTCAGTTCGGTTTGGTTCCAAGGCAGAACCTGGAACCTACTTACCTACCCTGTGGGGGTCAGCTCTAGATTTTTGGAACCAGAACCTACCTTGTCAAGATTGGTTCTAGGGTCAGTTCTGGTCCTGGTAATTCCAAGGTCACTTCCAAGGGCTACCCATGGAACCTGTTATTTCTTTACAAAAAAAATGGAACCTTTCTTTTAAAAAAATAAACATTCCATAATATTAAGAATCAAATTAGTTAGCTATATATGTTGTTGAGTTTAATATAATATCATATATTAAGTTATGTTTTTTCTAATGTTAAGAATTATAAATGTGACATAATTACATTATCACAAATTTTATCATTGATAATGTTACTATCAATACATATGATTGATTAGAAATCACAATCATAAAATGTTTAAACTTGATTTTCAATAATAATAATATAAATTTTAAAACTTAACATTTATTGATTAAATCTGTAGATTATCATAATATATTAATATTCAGTTCAAAAATTATCATTATAATTTAAGTTTTGTAAATATTGCTTTTTACATTACTTATTATGCACATTTAAATATTAAATTCACTTAAGTGGCTCAATGGCCAATCAAATGAGAGCATGGTCTATTGGTCTTTGTAACCATGAGTGCTTGGGGAAGTATTTTGGAATTTATTTTAAGGCAAGTTTGGTTCCACACTTTTTCCACCAAGGCCAATCAATGCCAATTCCACCAAGGTCAGTTCTTTGGGTTGGTTCAGGTAGGGTAAACCCCTAGACCTTGGAAGTTGGAACCAGCCTGGGTGGGGGTTGGTTCCAAGAATTTGGAACCAGACCCTACCTAGGAACAGATTGGGTAGGATCAGTTCGAGGCCGGTTTCATTTGGTTCCAGGTAGAACCTACTCATTTGCTCACCCCTAAATAGAAGACCTCATAACTGATTTACAAAAGCAATGCTGACTTACCATTCGTAAGTCATAAACAACTCTCTATTTTCTAAAACGCAACTACAAAATTGATGCATATATGAAAACTTACACTTCATGGTTTTAGAATTTGGAAGTCATAAACAACTAACTTGCTAAAACATGATACATATATATCCATAAAAAATGATGAAATATGCATATATGTAAGCCTACAGAACATGGTTTCCTAAACAAGACAAAAACTCCTATATAGTGGCCCTGTAGGCAGTGCAGAGTTCAACCAAAGTTATGGTGATGGCTTTCCAAAGGGTGCTTGTATCACCAAAGAGCCCCAATTTCTTCAAAGGTGACTTGGTGCAGGATCAAAATGTGGTAAAAAGCTGTTGGTGATCACTATCTAAATGAATAGGGATGTTATCAATTGTGACTGCTCAAATTAGATGGGCTCCTATAGAATTGAACTTAATAGCTGTGAGCTGCCAAAACTGTCGCCCTCTAAAGTAAGAGTCAGCCTACACGTGTATTGCCTAAATTGAGACAATTTAGAATCTCTTAACATTTTTCATTGTGGGAGTTTGTTTTCCCATAAATACTAATCTTTTCCTTAAGTAGGTTTGAATTATTTTGTGTATTTGTGTGTGGTACTTGGTTTCTTCAAGTTGTTTTGACTTTTGGTCCAAGCGTTAGAAACTTAAAGAGTTAAGTTTGTGCTAGGATGGTTAATAAATTAGTCTATCATGTTAAACTCCATTGTGGGATGGGACAGAATGAATGGTTTGTCTTTATCATATAAGTGAGAGACACATGGCATGTATATTGCATGGACTCTCCTGAATTGGCAAAGTGTCTTTAGTTTAATACAAGGTCATTCCTGAATTGAAATTTCTTGGCTTTCTTTATCAACTTAGGTTCTTCTTCCATAGGTATATGCTGCTAGAATCCACAATACATCAAACTTTCTAAGTTTCTAGTACTAAATACTTTTTCTTAGATGTGTCCCCAGATCCATATTTTTCAACTTGCCAAGTCAGACTCCTGGATGTAAACCGATCACAGACCAATTACAGGTCTTACACCCAAGAACCAAGTCTTCTCCAATTATAAATGTCATCTCTATAGTCATAATACTATCATATTCGACCAATAAAAAAATACCATCAAAATAGCATCTCATTTTTACAGCATGTAGTTCAGTCATGGTCCCTAGCTGAACCAATGTTCAACAGCTGCATTGTTATCAGTGGAAGGCTGGCTAATGTAAGCAACCAGCCAACTACAGTTTGTTGGAATAAGATTCTTATGAGCTATGAGTTGTGATGATGACCCAACTTCAAAACTTCAATTCATGTTTGCTTTGTATTTAGTGAGTGCACTTTATTTCTTGCTAAGAAATGGAAGATAAATGTTATGACAGATATAGTTGTTAGAGGACCTGGGAAACCTTGGATAAATGTTATGACAGATGTAGTAGGCTAGTAGCAATTAACCAACCGAGGGCTGGCTCGTTGGTGTGTTGGCTGGTTTGTTCCAACATTGGTGTGGAATCAAATCCCGCAACCAGCACTTTGGGGAAAAAGGGGTCAGGTGAAGTTGTTAATGGTGCATAGCACCGGATACCAAAAAAAAGGCAGTAGCAATTGACAACAACCACACTTTATCATGTTTCAGGCTGCAGATGCAATTTTTAAAGGACCTGGAAAACCTTGGATGGTACCATGGACGGCAAAAACCATACTTCAGGTTAGCATTATTGGTTTATATAACATGTTTCCTTTTTCCCCATTTTTTATAGTTATTCTCCAAAATTTGGAGAATCTATATTTGTCTTCTTGCATATCTAAATGTTGTATCAAATCAGTTTTTATTGCATTAAATGTTGAAAAATTCATATAAACTTACTAAGTCATATTTTCTTGTGAAAGTCCTCTATTGGAATTAATTATCAAAAAAAAAAAGTCTTATATTGGAATTCAAGGAAACTAACAATGAGGTACATGGGTATTTCATTGGAAAGCAATATTTCATTTTTCATGTCTACGAAAAAGTTCTGAAGTTTTTATTATTTAAAATCTTGTATTTTATCTGCCAAATGTTAACAATGGGTTCAGTTGGCTCAAATCCTTAATATTTCATTGGCATTAATGTCATTTTTTTCTTGTTGGGTGGAGTATCTATATGTATGTTTACAATTGCACAACTGTGTGGGGAAGCAAATAAATTCATTGTAGAGAATGCTGCTCATATGACACTTATCAGTGCCTATGTAACAATACTGTAGTATGATTTCTTGTATGAATTCACAGGAACTCTTCACATGTGATAAGAAACTCTGATAGTTAGTTGCACTTGTCTTTGTCAAAATACTCAAACATTCCTTCTCCCATTACATTTGGACTTTTGGTGATAATGTGCATCACTCAACAATTTGGGGCTCTAACCCTTAATCAAATTTTTTTAATGCATGCTAAGTTCATTTTAGATTGTATGCATAGATTTTGTAAGTTGAATAGTACACTTCCACAGCGGACATGATCCCTTAAAATGTTTCCATTGTTTTAAAATTAGTTTTTGATATGGGATAATAGAGTAGAAAAGGAAAAATAAAGACGAATCATTTGGTGCTGCAGGTTATGCTTCTCTGGATCGCTTCATTCTGGTTTGTTGGATCATGGATAATTCCATTCCTGGCCCATGCAGTGGGTTTTAATAAGGAATCTCTGACATACAGAGGCCAAGCTCTATACAGCCTATTAACGGATGTGGCCGAGGGTCTTGCTGGCATTGCAATCCTTCATAGCTGCATTGCTAGGTTCTACCCTCTTCCATCTGACTGGTTTAGTTTCAGCTTTAGTGGAAATTGGCAGTTTGACGTTACCTTGGGATGTCTTACGTTCCCTTTGGTTAACCGGCTATCTCAAATCAACCTTGATCTCTTCCCCCTTCTTCCCTCCACACCAGTTGCTGTATCAAGTGTTGAGCAGTCAATTATAGCTAGGGATCCTGTGGCAATGGCCTTATATGCAGTAGTAGTTTCAGTCTGTGCCCCTGTATGGGAAGAAATTATCTTTCGGGGATTCCTTCTTCCATCCTTGAGCAAATACATGCCTGTGTGGTGCTCAATCCTGCTTAGTTCAGTTGCATTTGCTTTAGCACATTTCAATGTACAAAGAATGGTACCACTCATATTCCTTGGGGTGGTTATGGGTGCTGTTTTTGCAAGATCAAGGAACTTGTTAGCATCAATGCTTTTGCATAGCCTCTGGAATGGATTTGTATTCTTAGACTTGTTGAAATAATAAATATCATATTGTACCTTGTATTTGTATATCAAAAATCAATTGATCCTCTTTTACCACAAGGTATTTGTAACCATGGTGGTATTAGGTTTGCCAATGGAATCCCGCCTACATCAGGGTCGGTGGTGCTTTGGGGTTTGGCTACCTGGCATTGGCGACAAAATGTTTAAGGTGAACCCACTCGCCTCCTCTTCGTTCCCCTTTGTTCTAAATTTGGGCATATACCCCAAAAATGAAATATTGCTTCTAGGTATTTGATTGAGGGTCTCACTTTGGTCATTTGGCTTTTAGACCAAGGAGCAGGTATTCAATCACAAGCACAAGAAACAAGCTCTCAATGTACCTACTGAATTCCACAGTAGGTGTAGTTCACTTAATTGCAAGGTAACTCGTGTTCTATTGGGTTAACTTCGTAGTTCTACTTCTAGGTGATTCCAACTTGCCAAGTCCGATTCATGTCCCTTTTTTCAAGATGCGGTTTAGAAAATTCCTTGAAATATTAATATTTCTGCTTTTCAAGCCAAGCAACTTAATTGGTTATGTTCAAAAAATACATGATGTTTGGAAAGTAGAAAATATATTTACGGGTTTGGGTTGGGAGTTGGGACCAGCCAAGTTGCACCCCTTTGGTCGGTTGTTGAACAGAAATATCAGCCTAATAAGTCTCTTTTGTGGGTTGTTCTCTTTGTAAAAGAAGGCCATTATCCATCCATCTGGGTCTTGGGAGGGGTAGACTTACACAGACCTAACGTTTGGCATGTTTTGCATGAAGTGGCCGCTTCAGATTCCAACTTGTGTTCTCACACACCTGTCAGCCCAAGATTTTACCATCTTCTGTGGGTAGTCCGTGTTTAGGAGGAAAATCCAAACGAGCTTGGCACATGGATGTTTTCAGATTCCAATTTGTATTCTCACACTTCGTCAGTCATCTCTCGTGGGTTGTGCCCCCATTCAAGTGGAAAATCCAGATAAACCTGATTGGATTGATGATATTAGTGGTATCAGATAATTTGTCATGTTACGTCTCAAAATTATAAATGTCCTGCATTATGTGGAAACTAGGGGTGGAATGAAGCAAAACTATAAAGCTATGTATGGTTTGAAGGAAAAAGTAGGGAAAGGAAAAGGAAAGTTGGGGAAACCTTTACAAATCTTTTATAGATTTTCCTATTTTTCCTTTCTTTTTCCTATTTCTTCCTTCAAACCACCAAACATAGCCTAAATGTCCAGCATTCTATGGAAACTAGGGGTGGAATGAAGCCAAGTCGAGTTGAGGCTAGGTTACTTGAGCAGTTGAGCTTGACTCAACTCAAAAACTTAAAAGCTCAAAACTCCATTCATGCTCGATGAGTTTCAAGTTTTCCACTGGAACTCGACTCTAGTTTATACTTGTGAGATATTCAAGCTCGGCTTGACTTGAGTTGATTGTAAATAAATTAATATTAAAGTTATTATAAATAAAATATATTATGAAATTTATTTATTATATAATAAATAAAAATATATTAAAGAATTAATATTTTATTATAAGTTCAATTAAGCTTGGAATCAACTTAAGTTGGGTATTGCTGTCTTGCTGAGCTTGAACTCGATTTGAACTTTGATTGTCTGAGTTGAGTTTGAGTATTTAGTAAATCAAGCTCAAATAGCTCGCATATAGTGGAAAGTGTAAACAAATAAATGTCACTCATTGGTTTATTATTTATTTATTTGTCATAAACGTGTTAGCTATTTTTTTAACACAATGCTTACGTGGAAGGAAATGAATCACTTCCCCTAAAATTAATTTTAAGTACGTGTACATACAAAAGGATCGGATAAGGGACCAATCGGCTTCAAGTCATTTTCCATTTCTGATTCTTGTCCCTATAGAGCTATAACCATGGCCATTGTCCATAACTCTTCGACCACTTCAAGGTCCGTTGTCTGCTTTTTTATTCTTTCGAACACTAACAACAATAATTTTTGTTGTTATTTATGGTAAACAATTACTACGATTTTGAACGAAAAAGACTTGTCCCCCTCCTAAACCTTGGTAGCTTTTAAAATCTTCAGAATTTTAAACCCACAACCACTCAAACCATCAGTGGATGTGAAAAAACCCGAAGATTTCCATTCCAAAAGAATCAATTGATATATAAAAGAGTGGTCTGATATTCAGATTGGGATTTGGGCATCATTTTGTCGCTTTTCATTTGTAAATTATTGAAGGGTTTTTTTTTTTAAGACTTGTTTTCCATTCCATATAACCAGAGGACATTGAAGGAAATGGTCACTCCATACTATCCATTAAATTAAACATATGCTCAATGCCTATTCTGGATGATTCTATGCTCTATACTCTCCCTTGTTTTGAATTTTTTTCCTGGAAGCTTCTACCTTCAAGCTTTTTGGTGAAATTGTTTTGTGATGTGGACATGTAGAGTCAAGAGTCATAATATTTTGATTAGGGTAGGAGTAATTATTATTTTTTTTTCTTGGAATTTTGGGTGCCTGTTAGGGTCATTACTTTTTAAGTTGTAAGGGTTAAAGCTCATCCATTTCCAAGGATTTTAGTGTTATTGGGCTGATTTTTCATTTGCTATCTAAGAAGGCCCTGATCAGGTTAATCTAGCATGTAAGGAATTTATGACCATTTAACTGAAAGAGTACTGGTTAAATGATAGGATTCGGGTTTTTAAAATTCCATTTCAGCCTGCATTATCTTGTGCTAGTTACTAGTAACCAAGATGGGTAAGTAGGTCTTTTTCACAAATTTGTTTTTCCATGTTTTGTCTTTATCTACCTATAGAAAAATGGCAAGTCATTATCTTGATCAAAATTTGCCTTTATCTACATCCGTCATGAAATTTTGGATTTTCTTTTGTGGAAATACATTTTTTTTTTCTAAATTGTGAGACTTTTCACTGCTTGTAAATTAGGGTGTAAAATAAAATTTATGATATAATACTGAAAACATTTGCAACCAAATAGATATTTCATGCTGTAAGCTGTAATGCCTGGTATTTTCATTGTTCTAAATCCTTTTCTATATAATTCCAATTCCATATTAATGCAGTTAAAGCTATCTGGCTTTCCCAATTATGTAACTAATGACTAGGGTTCAATGGTCCGGTTTTGGGTTGGACCCCATCCAAACCAAAATCAATTTGGATGGACCAATAAAATATATTGAATTGGACCGGCCTAGACTTAATGGTCCAAAGTATTCATTGGGTTGGATTGGACCTGGTCCATCTAGATTTATATTAGATTGGGTTGGATCGAATCAATATCTGGTCCATTGATAGAAGATAAGAATACAGGTGTCAATGGACCAGGTTTGGATTAACACCAATCTAAATTAAAACCAATTTGAACAGATTGGACGGTCCAAAATGATCCGGAGTATTCATTGGATTGGATTGGACCTAGTCTATCTGTAATTGGACCAAATCTGGTCCAATAGACACCCCTACTAATGACTAGTCTTATTTTTTTTAAGCCATTGATTAGTCTTTTCACACGATAAACAGAAGGGCGAAAATCATGGAGTCAAGGACAGTCCCATTTGTCACGTGCTAGTACATATGGTTTTATTTTTCAAAAAAGAAAAAAAACTACATCAGAAAAATAATAAGAATCTGATAATGTGGCAGTTGTTTTTCTTTTAAAAATAAAAACATACATATTAGATATTAGAGAGTACTCACGCTATGTTTGGTTTGAAGGAAAGAGTAGGGAAATGCAGGGAAACCTATACAAGATTTGTAAAGTTTTCCTTCCTTTCACTACTTTTTCTTTCAAACAAAAAATAGCCTTAGCGATCAGTTTAATAGTTCTATTTCTTTGCCATTCCATTTCATTCCTGTGTGCACATGTAAAATTTGGGCTGATTTTAAATTTTTAGCATTTATTGTATCACTTGTATTCATTAAGGGTGTTAATCGATCAGGTTGGAGTGTGGATTGGCTGGAGACAAAATTATCAGGTGCATGGGTTGAAGAACCAACCCATCTCATCAATAGAGTTGGGACAATAGCGGGGCACATAGTAGGGCAAGATAAAGGGTGAAAGTTATAACTAAAAATATAATAAATAAAAATAATATGGTTAAAAATAAAAGGGTAAATTGTTGAACTCTCCGTATTTTTAAATCCTCCACTGAAGTTTGGTAATTCCAATCACCTCCTCTGAACTTTCTGACATAATTGCAAGTAGACCTCTCTTGTTAAAATCAGGCTTAATAGCATGGCATTTTGGACATTTCCGTGCTTCTTGTTAGAGGATTCTAAAAGAGGGGGTCTACTTGCAATTGTATTAGAAAGTTCAAGAGAGGTTTCAACAATGGCCAGAGGCTTCAGGGGAGAGGTTTCAGCAATTTACCCAAATGAAAAAAAAAGCACTTGATATCTATGGTGGTTTTAAATATCAATGAAATTTTACAAATTGTAATTTTTTTTACAAAAAATTGTTTTTAAACAAAGACCCCCACATTTCATATATGCGTGATATTTTGGATGGATTTATTTCTTCCAAATTTTCAGAACATTATTAAGTTAATAAAGGGCAGCCCAGTGCATGAGGCTCCCATCAATGCTGGGGCAAATCATAACCTGAGCCTGACCCACATCAGTGATGGTTGACATTTCACGGGTGGAAACCATCCAAGCAGGACAGGGTGGGTTACCCACCCAATTAACCCGTTCTATTGACATCCCTACTAATTAAGTGCCTGTTCGGGAGGGTTGTTCAGCAGCTTTTGGCTTTCTGAGGTAGGCTCCACACTGACAATCAATAAGTTATGTTTAGCATGGTTTTCAAAATTGGACCGGGTGAGACGGTCAGACTGGAAAAATTGAGAACCGGTCAGGTGATCGGTTCCGTTTTTCTCCTAAATCGGATTTTTGCAAAAAATCATTGATTTAGTCAGTAAATCATTGACCCAAGAAGTTGAACCGTTCGAACCGTTCAACGGTTTTGACCATTTTTAATTTTTTTATTTTTTTGTCAAAACGGGCCGATCGTTTGACCTAGGAACCAGACCCCTGACCGATTCGATCTCCGGATCGGTTTTAAAAATCCTTGATGTTTAGTAAATAAGCCCAGACAGCCCAAATTGACTCAGTAGTCAGTCATTTTTTTTTGAAGGCAAATAGTCAGTCATTTTTAGGACTGTCCACTTGAACCTCCTTAAATAATTTATCCGGAACTCTAGAAAGCAGTTGAACCAGCTTTTAACTGAATCTTCAGTTCTGCCCTCCCAAATGGGTCCTAATTGGCTAATTGTCTATCTTATTAGCAGCTGTGCCGCTGTGCGCAAGCCACTTAACTTGACACACTGTCTCATGGAGAATATAACCTGCAACAACAATGTCCAGTTTGTGGGTTTTGGTCATGAGCATAAACTACAATGTTACATGCGTAACATGTCATGAACAATGGATGAAATGTTCATGTCAGACACGCTTTGTTTATTGACACTCCATGGATTCTTGAGTAATACTTTTGGGCCACATCTTTTTCCTTTATTGCTTGTTTATGTACACATTGAAGGGGATTTCAATGATACTGGAAAAGTATTTTAAATCTGGGATTAATCATTGACATAGCGTTACTCAAGAATCCATGGAGCGTCAATAATCCCGATTCGAAAGAAATGATTTCTGGTTTAATTTAGTACACATTGACACTTCATGGATTCTTGAGTAACCAGAGCTAATTTGCTCTCCCTTGATTACTCTTCTGCAATGAGTGGATAAATTTCAGTGTGCTGTTTGCTACATGTCATCTTTCAGTTGGGGTGATTATTCAATTATTTCTTATGTTAAAGTAGTATGACCTAAAAAAAGGGGAAATACATATGCTCCAAAATTCCAACCAAAAGGTGGGGTTATCTTACTAAGATAATATTAATTAGTATTTATTTTCAAGCTCAAGATGTTGGTTACCTTCATGCATAGAAAACCATCTAAAGTTTCGACCAAGAAAACCATAGATGTAAGAAGAAGTGATATATTGCAAGTAGAAGGGGCTAGAGGAATTAGGGACAGACCAAATGGATGGGTTAAGCAGTAAGAAGTGAGTATTGATCTGGTTTTCACAGAGGTCTCTCCACACCAACCTCACAATATGTAGGTCGTTGTGGGGAGCATTCTGTGAGGAGCAAAGCCCGACTCGGAAGAAATGATTTTTGGTTTTAGTTGACATGGTAGTTATTTTTGCTTTAGAAAGCAAAACCATACATATTGTAAAATACCCTATTGAGCATTCATAATTTAATAATGGATATGGCCCTAAACAGAATGGAATGATGAAACAGGATTCATGTAATCAACCCTGATAACTTAAATAGAGACAAGATCTGCTTAAAGAAAAAGTGTATGAATACACTGAGAGCACAGTATTCAGCAGCACCTTGGAAACATACAAATATAGGAGATGTTCTTGATGAACAGAGCAGTTGAATATTATTACACTCTCAGCATGTTCACATGCTTTTCACTTTCAACAAATTCGGGCTTACAGAGATAAAGGCTTAGATGACGATGATGATGATGATGGTGACTATTTTCAAGTTCACAAATTCTTATATCAACAAGCTTAATGTATTATACAAGTATTTCTAGAGCACCATTTAGTGCGGATTAAAGTTGTTGAGTAGGTATCTTATTCGAGCCTGGTGTCTCAGCAGTTAGGAATATGGCGTCAGAAGTGAGATCACTGTTTTAACCCTATCTATCTGCTAAGATGGATCTTCGTCTCTATCATTTTGGAATTTGCGAGACCCATCTGGAGAGTATCGTGGGGGCCGTGATGAGCCCAACTCAGCTCAAGACTGTTTTCGGGAAAAGGCTCCACTCCAGACTCCAGAGTCCAGAGGGGTCGCATGTTTAGTTCCCATGTGGGGTCCATGAGCACTGTGAGAACTGAGATGTAGTTAGGAAGTGAAAAGCTTGCCAGAAAAATCAAAGAGGGTCTTTCTTTTGCTACATGGTGGGGATTATACGGTCGACTGGTTTTAGGGCAGCCTCCTTCCTAAGTCGTCAGTTGTAAAATTCCTGGGCGGATAATCTTTCTTTGCTACTGACTTATCTACCCAACCCATCCCCATCATCTGATTTTAGGGGGAAAAAACAAAAAGAAAAGTTATACAGGGAATAATCAAAGAGGCTTTAATATGACGGATCAACAAGTGCACTTGACACGTGAACCCATTTAATCCAACAAATAATGCTTAACTTTTTTTCTCTCTCTCCCCGCTTTCCAACCAAAACCAATCTTTTATTTTCTTAGAAGAAATAAAGGAAGCCTGAATCACAAAGCAGGTTAAGCTTATTGGAGTAAAAGGAGGGTTGACGTACAACATACATACATATACATATATACGTATATACATACAAAATGTTTTTCATTAGTGAATATGATCACATTACAAGGGATGTTTGGAACCGTGACCGTTTTTCAAAAAAAAAAACGGTGCTACGCCGGATCCACATAGGCGTTTCAATAAATGTCCATATATCTCATTGTTTGGTTCAGCTGATTATTAAAAAATTGGGACCCCACCGATGCATGAAACACCAAATTTGGCGTTTCATACATTGGTGAACCGTTTCCCCCAACGGTTGACTGATGTGTATCCTATGTGGTGCCTGTCAGCACATACATGAAAAACGGTGATGAAAATCACCTTACCAAACAGCATAGTGTTGTTCATTGCCTACGTGACAGAAGCATTTTTTTGTGAAAAATGGGTCTTGGAAGCATAGGTGTTTTTTCTTGAAAATTGGTCCCAAAAAGCATCTACGCTTCCAAACACCATGACAGTCTTCTACCAAGTGGCTAAAAACCAATTCGTTCACCAATGACTCAATAGTTGAGATGGTCATTCAGCATCCCTCCAAATTAGGGGCCATGTGATCAATCTCATGAAACCATAAGGTCTCAATGGTATGGTTAGTGGGCCTCATGTACACTCTATTGTGTCCCTAACCCCTACCCCTGTACCACTAAAAACCCCGCTCCAAGAATCTGTTTCCAAACAAAAAGAAGCAGCACTAATGTTCATCCTTAAATAAACAAATGGCAAGAACTAATAATGAAATTGAGATTTAGTCCTCATAGAGCATCCTCACAATCACATCCCACTGTGTATTGAGAACATCTTATATGAATGATAACATACAAGCAATGTACGGTTGAAACATACTATGCGGTCAGTGTGAGGAGCAGATTCGAACTCCTAATAATGTAGAGAGCTGGCTGCCTTGGCAAATTTGGACCTAATAATGAACTAGCCCATTCTGGGATGCTACATCATCTCAACTTTGTCCGTCTAGAAGAGTGGATAAACCAAAATCATGTCTGTCTAGAATATTAATTTACAGCTTACAAGGCTGGAAAGTGAAAATTGGAAAAAAGAAAAAGGAATGCTGCAACGGACAATGGTGGTGCCCTTGTCCATCAATCTATATTCCATTGAACCATCCATATATACATCTCTCTCTGCCTCGTCAGAGTTAAAAGATTCAGACGATTACATGTCCCATGTACCAAGTAGACTATGACCCTTCATTCCATGGTCCTGCAATGGACATTCCCTTTTTCAAAAATCAACATGAGCAAGATGTTGCTCTTGTGGGGTCATCTCTGGGAGGGACTGAATTGGTTTGATTCTTTTAAGACTGTGTTTGGTTTGAAGAAAAAGTAAGGATAAAAAAAGGAAAAAGGTAAGAAAAATTATACAAAATTATGTAAAAGAAAAACTATTTCACAATATGTTTTAGCCATACATCATGAACATCTTCTATATTTATATGTTTTCGTCCAAAAAAAATATTTCTAATGCACGACTGCAAGTATTGTGACTTTGTGAGGTGGGTACGAGGAGAAAATCCAGATTCAAAACAATCAAACGCAAACCTTTTAATTTGGGCCCACAATTCACATGTGAAGGGAGTAGGGAGGACTGGTAATTGCCCATAAAATCCAACTTTTTTAGGTAAAGCCCATATAATCCTACTTTTGGAGTATCTGAATCTGTATCTCATCCTCAATAGTGAATATGTATCTATTTTCCTTTTAAATCTTAATATATATATAATTAGCAGTTCATTCAATACCCAGATACCCAGCCATCTCATCTATGTGTCAGAGAATCCCAGTCACCATGGAAGGCTCACAACCTCTGTCCATTGATAGCTTCTCCTACAGCTGGTTAATAAACCTAAAACCCTCGTACGAAAGCCTCGGCGATTCTTTCAGGGCCTATCTCGATGCTTCGGACGAGGCCTCCTCCTTCATAGAGATGGACCCCAAGTTGACACCTTCTAAGAGATTCCTAGGAGACGCCCAGGATTTCAATTTCGGCTTTCCCGTTTCTCAGTCTCCCCACGGTGATCTGGTTGACGCCGACGAGCTCTTCTCCAACGGCCTTCTCTTGCCTCTCTTCCGCAACTCATTCAAGACGGAGGCTTTTGCTGCCTCCGTCGATTCTGCTCCGACGCCGCTCATCTCCTCCTCGGAGCCGTCGAAGCTCCTGATTTCGAGCAATCGGAGTCGCTCTCCTCTTTTTAGAAGGTGGCGACGATCATCGAGAACCATTTTCCAGAAATACATGGGTTTCCTCAGACCCTTGTACAAGAAGCTACGGGTCTTGAGATTAGACGCCAGAAGACCGGAAACTAACGACGCAAGAGTACGACCTTTTGTCAGAAGCTGGGATGAATCGTCACAACTAACAACGTCTCCGCGAGCAAGTACTGCTTATTCCACCGGTGATTGGTGTGCCATTGAGAGTTCGATTCACGAAGCAGTTCTCCACTGCAAAAAGTCAATCGGTACGTCCAAAGTTTTTTTTTTTTTTTTTTCTGTTTTTTTGGGTTATTAATTATTAATTTCTTCTCATTACTGTTTCGTTATTTGCAGAAAAATGAAAGATTAATTTGGACAGACGAAGAGGAGAAAGAAAAATAAAAGAGAAGGAGAGACACAAGGAGAAGAGGGTTTGTGAATGCAAGATGATTTAACTCCCTTTACATTCGCGCTCCTTGTTTTTGTCTCTTTTTTTACCTTTTCCCTTTCCTGTTTGGATGATCGATCATGTAAACCTTCCACCTTCGCCCTTTAAGCTTTAAGAAACTTGGTGGCAGATCAGCCATGAAAATTCTTATATTCAAAGATATTTTTAGAAAAAAAATACAAATTAATAAAAAATAATTTGTTCTGTATTCTGGGTCTGGTTTAGGGGAAGGACAACTTCCAATGTGCATCTCTGTTATTATGATTATCATTGCAAATAATGGTTGAGAAATAAGAAAGAAAGAGGTCGACCCTTGAAGATGGGAGATCAACTACGGATTACGGTTGTTGTGGAGGATTAGAATAAGTCGTTGGTGCGGCAGTTGGAACTTGGTTGGGCTTATCATATATTCCTGAGAAAGGACAAAGACATACCCGTTAATGGTAATAGGAATTATTAATTTGTCTTGGGAGTTTTTTTTTTTTTTGTCTTTCTGGCTACTGTTTTTATGATAAATCCTTGCTAATATCACTCTTTTAATGTTGGTAAACAGGGAAGATTTAATGAATCACCTGTGACTGTGACCATATTAACTCAACATTTAAGTAGATTAATTAAGATATGAAATTGCAATAAATTTGCGCAACATTTCATTAGGGTTTTAGGGATTGGTCTGTTTGACATTATTAGGGTTTTAAGAACCAGTTGAAACTGAAAGCCTAAGTAATGGTACCCTATACAATCTGGTACGGCTTCTAGGAAGAATGTCTGTCAAGTGGTTTGACACCCAACTGGAAGATATGAAGATTTGGGGTACTCGTAGTGATGGATGGCTTCAGCCAGAGCAGAGGCAGAGCAGGTGCCAATGCAATAATTGTATGAATTCAAGCTTCAAAGATTCAACCTATTGGGGTTCAACTTCTAGCCTTCATTATTGCTGCAGTACTGTGCTAGGTGTCAAGAAAGTTCCCTCGTGTGTTTCGTGTCAGCAATACTGAAATAGCACCAATCCCCTTCTAAGCTTTCTCAACGGTCTTGACTCTTCAAGAGCAAACAGCTGTATTGCGCCAAAACCCAAAAGAGCAAGATATTATGAAGTATAAACAACCAAATATTCAATCAATTCAATCCTACCAAATAGTACGGCATTTGAGTTTGTGGTCATTTTTCTTGTAACATTGTTCATTCGCCAGGTGCCTGGAAAGTGGAAACCTACCTCTGTCTCTGTTTCTGCAGCCCCAAGTGGTTTTCATTTTTTCCCTCAACAAAGAAGTGAAGAAGGGATATATAGAGCTAAGTTAACATTAAAAGTTAATTAACACATGAGATGGAAGATGAGAGAGGGTGGTTTTGGAGCTTAAATGAAGAAGAAAATCATGCATATTCACATGATATGGTTAATACAAAGGTCCATCATGATTCAACAGATTTGGAGCTGGTTAGGTTAGTGTTGTTGGTGATCGTACAAAATAAAATACTCAAAGTGGGTACTTGGCATTGATGCCATTTTTTTGAGAAAACGGCACCATTAGAAAGGGATGTTTCAAATAATACTCTCTTATTTGGTATCATTTTTTCAGAAAAAAAAAATGTTTCATATCATATCTTGGAAAACAGGAAAGTGTAGTATAGAGCAATATTAAATTCAATATTTTTTGAGAAAACAGTACGCTGTTGCCAGCTGTGTAATGATGCGACATCAATGTGATATCATTTTAAACGTTGAATAATGTAAATCAATGTTAAAAATGTTGTTTTAGCATTAATACCAAATAAAATCTGTGCTATTTTTTCAGAAAACGCCTATATAACAATACTGATTCCAAACAAAAAATAAACACTATTTTTCATACAAAAAAAAACAATATTATATTCCCAATGCGGATGCCAAACACCTATAAATTCAGGTTGTTGTTTTACCTTGTGGAATTAGTCACGATGCACACCCTTCAAGTAAGGCTTTTTTTTTTTTTGGGTGAAGATGTGGTGATGATCTTGACATATGCTCCACCCCACATATCTAATGCGTATATAATTCACCCAATATATGTTTAACTCATATAAATGAGCTTTAATACCAGTCAGGTCCACCAATGACACTAATCTATATAAATTGGCAAATAACAAAAGAATTAGGTGTGAGGGCTTTTTCTTCCATTTGTTAAGGTCGGGTCCACCGGTGTTTTGCATGAGAGTCCCCTCTGCTATCATTCCAACATAATCTATAGTCACACATCACAAATATATAATTCATACTGATTGATGGGTCATATCAATGTTTCTAAAACCGGACCGGAAAAATAAGGAATAGGTTATTTGACCGGTTTCTTTTAATTTCAAAATTGCTTTTTGACCAAAAATCGTTCATTTGATTAGTGAATTGCTGACTTAATGATTATACTGTCAAATCATTCGACCTAAGAATGGTTTTTGGCTGTTTTTTATATTTTTTAAAATTTTAAATTTTGTCAGAGCGAGCTGTTCGTTCGGACCGGACAATCGGACCGTTTGACCCAGGAACCAGACCCAGAATGGTTCCCTGTCCAGTTTGGTTTTAAAAACCTTAAGTCATATTTCCACGAAATTGGCATGGGCTCCCCACAGAATGCGCCCCACATGCGCATCCAACCTTGCATTGGGAACATTCTCCGTTGACAATTGCAGAAAATATTCCCAACACACGGGTGAAGGTACATGTGAGGCACCTGTGAGGTACGTTTTGTGGGGAGCTTATCAGTTATCAGAGCTCACCTTTGAGATGGTAATTATGTCAGAGATGTGTTGCTATGTATTTGAAAGCAATGTTGATAGCGTCTTTTAGGTGGAAAGCCCAGGCTACTATTCTTGGTTCAATACACGCCAATGGAAAAAGAAATGAGAAGAGAAGCAAATATTTTTTTTGAATTGGTTCAGCCTTCTCGGTAAGTAGATGAATTCGCTAGCTAGCTTTAAAACACGTGTTTAATTTTATGCAATTAAAGCTTGAGTTGGAGTAAACAAAACTTTATATATATAATTATACTCCAACCACCTACAATTTTTTTTTGAGTGTGGATCATCCCAAGACCAGTCTTCACCTACTTAAACCACTAACAACTAACCTGATGAAGTAAATACATGTATCATTCCTGATAAACTATTTCCAATAAGGTTTTTAAAACTAAACCGGATAGAGAATAGTTTTGGGTTCTGATTCCTGGGTCTAATGGTTCAACCATCTAATCTAAATGAATGGTTTGATCGTTTGGTTGTTTGACCGTCCTAGGTTGAACAGTTTAGTGGTTTAATCGCTCAAATCAGCAGTTTTGGGATAAAACGAAACCTGTCAAATGATTAGTCTCCAGTTTTTTCGGTCTGATCATCCGGTCTGGTCTAATTTTAAAAACATTAATTTTTCAACTTTATTGAAAATGAATGTTGCACATAAATATATGAATTCACCCACGCAAACTTGATGGAAGAAAAATATGCAACCATATATGTTCAAAATGTATCACTTAAATATGAAGCTACAGTCATTTTATTCATGATACCCCCTAATCCTAATGTCACCAAAATATTTTTTGGTATTACTTACAAGGAATCTGTGGTGGGGCAGAGTAAATTGAATGCAAGGCCCATGATTAGTCATAGAGCTTACAGTTCCATGGGTTCGACCCGTGTGATTCTTAATTGGAGGGGTGCCGAGTGACTATCTCAACTACTGGGTCATCAGCTTTGTAAATTGTAAATGAAATGCATTGATTTGAATCACAATGAAAGCGATTCATCAAGTCACACCATATATACGAATATAATAAATAAATGACAAAAAATAATTTTTTTTGAACATCATCACAAAATTTGGCATTTGGGAGGATGTTCTTCACCATCTCTTAGGCTGTGTTTGGTTGCAATGCAAATAAATTTGCACTGATGTAAAATTATAATATGCAAATGATTTGAGTATAAATTTTGATTTATTTTTATTTTAACTTTTAGCTTATTTTGTTTGGTTATAGTATAAACTAAGTAAATTAAGATACAAAGCAGAATAAAGTAAAATTTTAAACAAAATTAAACAAGAACTTATATTTTTTTTTCATTTGCACTCCACTAGTACAAATACAATTGCACTACAACCAAACACAACCTTAATGTCACAATAATGTTGTATTTTTTTATGTATAACGGTTTGCTAGTTAGACGAGTCGTTCAGAGTGAAATTCTAAGAAACGACCAGGAATGTGAATGGGGAAGCAAGGTATGGTTTAGGGACCCCAGGGTTGATTGTGATTTGTCCACACAAAGAAAAGAAAGAAAGTAGGGCTCCATGTGTTCCCCATATGCCTTCTATTTATGGGGCAAGTTTGAGATCAAAGGTCGCTTCAGCGCCGGCCAGGTGAACCCTTTATTTATTTTTGGGACATTTAAGTAGCCAAGTGTCCAACAGTTGATTTTGGACTGCTTAATCGAACAGATTCAGATATGTTTTACGTTTGGTGATAATGTGGAAAGTAGGCCCCTGATTCTTTTTTTTTTTTTTTCTTTTATTTTCAAAGGCACCTTCGTAGTGTTTTCAACCCGTTGTTGACTTAAACGGTCAAACCATCGCCCGGCAACAATTCTGGTTCAAGTTAATTCCAAACCTAGTAATTAAAAACCGTTGACTTGATAAAAAACCTACCCAGATGGTTGAACTGTCTACCTGCTTGACCTAGACAACAGGTCACATGTTACAAATTACATTATATTTTTCTATTTTTAGGTTCAAATTTTTGTATTGGGATTTAGGCTCAGCTTGAAAAGAGTACAGTATAAATACATATAATAATATAAAATATAAGATCTTACACTTTACATATTTACATTTATACTTGTTCCAAACTGAGCCTTAGGACTAGTGATTTTGGAGTGGCTTTTCACATTGTAGATGGAAGAAATGAAAAAAAGATGGAGGTCTAACCTATATAGAAAAAGAAAAAGAGGTGTGAAAAGCTTAGGAGGCGACAACTTTACAACTTTATGCTTGGTGATGTGATCAGGTGTTGTATTTTTCCATTTTGGGTAAGGCCTTATTAGTCTCAAATCTCAACTTTTATCTTTCTTAATCTATAAAAGAAATAAAATTAAAACAAAAAAGAAGAAACACAGAAATAAAATTAAAACAACT